ACCGACGACCTGGTCCTTCATATATACTTGATGAAAATCGGAAGAACCGGGTACATCAAACGCCGACCAGATCCAAGGTTGATCACCGTCGATTAGGTGGACACGTTGATGAGGATTCACAGCTCCAGAATCTACGTTTGAACATAACATCTGGAACCAGAATGTTGGTTGTGGACGGAGGGCTCTAGCGGTCTTCACATAAACATCAAAGTGTATGGAGGATCACATATTTTTTCCCCTCCATATCGATCTCATGACTGCAATAAAAAAGCGAACATTGTCCCCGCCATACCTAAGCTTTGCATCTCAGGTACTGTTGTAACTCTGAAACTGCGCTCCTTCGGGAATTCGTGGGGATGAAAATTTACGATCGAAAGGGTCTGCGGGATACCTGCGTGGATAATGAAGCAAAATGTCAATGGTCACCATGCACGTCACATGCTGGACAACATGATGAGGTAAAGCTAGTCTCGCTCCACTCTTCTTGAATTCTCATTCGCATGTGCACCTGAGAGGAGGCGACTCTGTATCAGGTAATCCTCCGAAGTGGAAATGATCAACCAGCATGAAATAGCTTGACTGTTGCTTGTCTTTCGACTGACCAGATCTGCCATAGGTATCTGGATTCAACGGACGCAACTCCAGAGTTGAGATAGCTGGCATTTAGGACTTGTCTTCCAACAGGCGCGAGACAAACGTCAAATTTGTCATCTAATGAAGAGACGACCAGCTCGATTGTTTGCGGTAGCAGACAATCGATAGCAGTAGCTCGATTGTGGGGATGTAGGTGGAGTCGACAGTAAGGTAGAACCGAGTGGCAATTCCTGATAATGCAGTTTCATTCAGAGTCAAATTTAGGCTGGAAAACATTGCTCGAAGAAGATAATTTTGCGATCCCGGAGTTGTGTGTTAAGTGTAATTGGGAAGTAATACCAGAGCAATTTGCAACTGTTCGCCATTCAGCACGCTAGGTGAGTTCTTGTTGTACTGAACATCGGCGGTGGCGGTGACATTCTCATCAAAAAGACTTTTGTACGAGTCCAGATGAGATTTATCAGTGATCCAGTCAAGTGAGGTGACAGGGTCTACTCCACTTACTCCGCAACAGCTGATGCTTATGAATCCTTAGTTGCAAAATTATTCATCAGCACTATCGCACTGCCTGATTTTATAGTTTCATAGCTTCAGACAATCGCCAATAATTTGCTATCGTTGGAGCTGCAAGCTTAAATTGAAATAAATTTCTTGATATTATTCACCGTAGAAAGCCAATTTGCAGACTCACCTTGTGTAGAGCCCTCAGTAGACTGGGAGAGGACCGGAGAAAGAATCATGTTACTTAATAAGACCCCAGAAAGAATTCCAGCCAAGAATCTTCTGCGTTTGCTCACCAAATTCATTGGAACCTGGCTTGTGAGTTGCAGAGAAAATTGACACAACACACTGCTGCCATTAGTTGCCAAATATTACTGCTCCAGCTTGGGCAGATATCTGCAGCGTAATCAGACAGCTCAGTCACAGCTCCACATACAGTGCCCACAGCATTGCGCCGCACGAATCCCATAGTTACCAGATTGTCCCACAACTCCCGGTTATCGTCGTCTAAGTATTATAATCAAATTATATGTACAGGCATCAAATAATATTTTAATTAATTTTTATATGATTGTTTTAATATTATATTATATATTTTGAAATAAATATTTTTTATGTTTATATAATCAAGTAAAAATTAATTAATTTTATTATAATTTTACGATAAATATTCATTTTTAAAATAATAAATTTTAAAATTTTTTCATATATCTTACCAACATTATAAATATTTTATATTTTGATGAATATGTATATTTTTTTACATTAAATTGAAATGTTTAAAAAAAATTATTTTATTTTAGTATTTTCATTAAAAAAGTATATATTAATATTGAAAATATTAATTAAAAATTATGAATGTCAATTGAAAAATACATAACACCCCCCTTGCATGACCTTTGAGATTGTGATTCTAACACCGGTAGTAAAGTATAAAAATTACCAAAATTAATTTAGATTAAAATTCTATTCTGCCTCATTTTAATAATTTTGAAATTTAGTAAGCATAATACAAACGCATTTTAATGTTCAATTCTAATCTAGATTTGATTTCGATAGATTGTCTCTTGATACATGAGAGAGTGATTTCAATGAGATAATAAAGCAGAGTAAGATTGAAGAGACGAGAATAATTTCCACACAGCAAATCTTCAAACATTTGCACCAATACTCTTTTCTAATCAACTTACTTACTATGTATCTCTCCACTTGCAAGCATTTGCATCTTTACTCACTGTTGATAGTCTAAACTATTCTATGAAATATCATGGAATATCCACCATCGAAATTAGAAAACGAAGCCATTCAACGGTACTAAAAAATAATCTATCAATCAAAACAAGAGCTCCATATTCGTCTTGCAATCCGGACACGAAATTGCATCAGTTTCTATCAAGACACCAAATTGCACCAAGTTTTCTAGGGTTAGTTGTCCACAATACGTGTTAAAACCTGATTTGGCCGATGAGAATAACTATACATGTAAAACCTTAAACTCCAAACTAAAAATCTTACGTATGCATATAAAACACAATTAAAACATTAAAGACTCACATGAATTCAACTCAATTAATATCTCCATAAACATTTGGCTTGAAGCATGATACTCTTGAATTGATATTGAGAATTTGTTTATTGAAAGCTTAAATACGTGGAAGAATTCAACTCAATTGAAATTTTCATAAGCATTTGACTTGAAGATTTATGCTCTAATTTAATCTTAATAATTTTTGTCGATAGAAATTTTTTTACAAACGTACAAGAATTTAATTTAATTGAAATCTTCAAAAACATTTGGCTTGAAATCTAATGTTCTGAATTGGATGTATAGATTTTCTTTGGTATAAAACAAATTTCAAAAACGCACATGGATTGAGTTGGCAAATGCGACAGTCAACACTCCACATGATCAACGTAAGTAATCAAACCAACCATCCAAATCATCCCACGCATCGTTGAACTTCGTGGCATGATCATACCTACAAATTTGAATTTTCACTCCCACTTTGGAGTTGTAAGCATGAAGAAATCTTTTGTGATCTTTTTCAATCGTATCAACATAGAATTCGCCCCAAAATTGTTTCATAAGATCACAATATGGATCAAAAATCTTTTTAATAATTTATCATGTGTGCATCTTAACTAATTTGTAAATCAACCCTTGAGGCGTCACATAAATTTGAGACTCATTTTGAATGTCTCTCTTTGCTTGAACATTACAAATCACTCCAACTAACCGAAAGCGATAATCAACAATTTATTTCACAATTTCCATTTTTTCATATGAAAGCATGTTGTAAAAAAAAATTTCCGTTTCAAGATCTTTATTCATGAATATGTAAAAATACATTATTTATTATAATAAACCATGATCTACGATGGTAATATTCATCTTCTGCCATCATCATATAATCAACATTAGTTTCACAATTTGTATTCTTAGTATAATGCACAAATTTACTATCAATTTGTAGATTTCAATTCTCTGTAGAGAAAATATCTTGTCTCTTACTTTTGAAATAACTCATGTGATAAAGCATGTTGACATCATAACAACAATGGCCGTAGTGATGATATATCAAGACTGAATCAAAGCACAATGAAATTTACTTTTGTATCTAATGGATGAAGGTTTGTGTAAATTATAACGTATAAACTTGTAAATGTGAAAATCATCGTGCTTTTTTGGAAGTAAAATTAATCATTTGTCAAATTTAACATATACGTAATATAAAATATTTCATCTTCATTATATATAGCACTCAAGCACATGCAAAGAATGAGTTTCTTCCGAAAGCGTAGCTTTCCACACACATGGCTATTGACAGGTCGTATTCACTACTCACTCCGCTCTCATTGAAATCACGTAAAGATACGAGATTGGACGAAATTGTCGTTTTCTCAGTCAGAACTAATTTGAACTTTGTCAGAAAATAAAATCCACATCGCAAAACCAACAATTTCATAAGTCAAACTTCTGTGATGCGAGTAGTGAGAACAAGCTAAGTTCAGACTGCGACGGCGTTGAGGTTTATCTGCTTGCTCGGAGAATCAATTTCTCCACGGTCGGGAATGTCAAACGTCATTCTATTCTTGCTCCCATGCGTCTAGGTTCAAATACGAATGCAAAGACAAGATGACATGATGAATGTCCAGTCGTTAAATTGTGAACCCCATCCTCTCAAATACTCAGATCTTGTCCCGACCCAAGTGAGTTGTTCACCGCAGATGTGCAATCCTGGGTTGATCCACGTCAATTTGCCGAATCGTCACTCGGACTCTCGAGTCCACAGAGCCAGGCGAGACCTCGGAGGAGTCCAAAGACTAGAATGCAGGAGGTGGTTCACCCAAATTTTCCGAACACACGGGCCTTCGCAGAATGAATACTCACTCGGGCTCTTGAGTCCGTAAAGAGAGGCGAGACCTTGGAGGAGTCAAACGACGAGATTGCAGGTGGTGCGGTGCGCACCAAAATCTGTCAACAATCAAGCCCTCGCAGAAAAAATACACACAGCGTCACTAAGTAGCGAAAGCATCTTCCCGTTCTTGCACAACTCGAAACCCCTCTCGCAATAAAATCCGCTGGACAATAGTTCTGAAGGGCACGAATCAGATGGAAAAGAAGGCCCTAGCAATCTTTCTGGTCCACGTCATCTTCTTGCGCAAGGTGAGGAGATTTTAGGCAAACTCTACAGATTTCATAATTCACCTTTCCTGCGTACATTCTCTCGCACAGAGGCCTGCTTATCATCTTTCCTCATCTCCTACTAGTGTTAGTCTGTCAATGCCACTCACTACAAATCCTGTCGAGTCGATTCCAATCTCTCTGATACCTATTGTTTCCCGAAACAAGATTTCACAGAGAAACTCATGCAATCGAGATTCAATACAGAAAAAAGTGATTCACGTAACTGAGACTAGGTTCTTTGTTTTGATTGATCTAAATATTTAGATCTTATTGTAAGACCCAAATAAACAGATCTCTTTCATTGAAACATGTATTGAATGTGTAAAACCACCCCGCTTCTATCTGTGGAGCATACGGCGTGAAGATTAATCAGCTATCAAACCAAATCTCCAACAAAATTTGCTCTTCTACATACTCTTTAATCTAATCTATCATCTCATTTTTCTAATAACCTAATCTACTTCTCCTGATCGCTGATGTTAGTTGGTCCTCGTTTTAGTAGTACATGGATCTACGTAAGAGCCTAAGTGTAGTTTACATGATCAATAGTATTTACACTAAACTCAGATGAGGAAAAAACAGAATTTACAGTTCGGACTCTCTAATCTGCAACCAAAGGTGCTTATTCATCCCATGAGTCATGGGATGAATAATTCAAAGAAGCATTCTCCAGTCTTCCAAAAGCTAGTCATGGGCCATGACTAACTTTTGGAATACTGGAGAATGCTTCTTTCTCTACTCTAGGAAAGGATGAATTCTAAATCAAGACACCCGAAAAAACTGGAGCTGCAAGCCCGAAAAAGGATCCAGCAACAGACAATCACCCAGATCGAATGATTGTTAATACCTCGGATCATCACACACTCTCTTCCTTTTCCAGGCGCTAAAGATAGAACAAAATGATCCCATACTCAAGGGTTTCCAAGAACCGGTTTTCTTTCTTGCTTCGAAAGTTCAAACTCACTGAGTCCACTGGAAGACAGCTGGGAGCTTTCTGTTTCCGACCATGGTAGGCCTAGGGTGGAGCTTGAGGTAGATGTGTAGTAGGAATTGTTCAATTGTCCATCAGCAAGTGGAACCAAAGAGTACTCTTTTGAAATGTTAACCTTCTTCGTCAGGCTCTTAACCATTTTTGAAACTGAGGTCCTCGTCTTTGTCTTTCCTCGAATAGTGTGTAACTCCGAAGCCACTTCTTTCATGGTTGGCCTATCCTGGCCATCTCTGCTTACACACTTCAATGCAAGCTGCAATACGAGCTATGTTAGTGACACCTGAAACACTGGGAAGGCTTTGATTGGAAATAATAGGAAACCAACAACAACAATCCACGGGATATCACAGAAGGACGTATGTTCAGGAGTGTTATCCAGGAGAGAGATTGATACCTTGGCAACTGCATCGATGGCTTCCAGGGTGTCTGGACTCTCAACCGCCCCTGATAACTCTGGATCAATGATATCTGCGAAAAGACCCTGTGCTCAACCAGGAAAAGTAACGTTTCATCATCATAGTTAATACATATTCTAAGTCCAGCAGAGAGTGAGATGCTTGAAAGACTTAGTTGAGTGAAGACATCTCGTCTTACGCAGGTGAGAACTGCCGTAGGTGACTTCCAAATTCACTTGAAGATTTCAGTATTAAGTCAAATCAGTTCGAGAGGAGCTAGCATTAACATACGTACCTAGATATACCACACTTCAACGCAGCCTAGTTACTTTGTGCAAACACATTAGGCCCACCTAACGTCTGAATCTGCTGCCAAACAAAAATGCAATCGGGCACTTTGAAGACCCAGCAGTAAGCCCTTGGCGAGGGATCGTAGGTATAAGAAATCTACAAACCTGAGTCATCAAACGGTTGCATCTGTTGACAAGATTTTGATCCCTAGGCTGTCTCTTAAGATCCACTGGTCTCTGCCCAGTGAGAATAACGAGAAGCAGTACACCGTAGCTGTATACATCTGATTTGTCCGTTAACTGCAGTGCACAAAGAAGCCAATGCAAGACATGAGTTCCAGTGACATATTTCAAGGGAAGTCATACTTCCAGAATTGTAAACTCATAAACAAGTCGAGCTGAACAGAATTGCTGAGCTTTTCTGTTCAGTATGGAACAACTTTTCGAACTGAGGCAACAACGAGATCTTCAACTTGGGTTGGAGCTCACCTCGTACTGGTCAAAAAGCGCTGGGTCCTGTAGGAATCAATGCATGAACTTTAGTATATGCTGAATGTTTACGATTTGAGATCACGTAAAACAGGAAACTCAGAAATGAGGAAGAAGAAATCTTGGTAGGAAGTAGAATGTGGTCTGGGATTGGTAAGTTTCACTGGGAAACTTACCCAGAAATATAGTCTCGATAGATAATCAGCCGCGGAATCACAGACTTTAACAAAGTGATTCCTATGTTTTAAAGCGTCAGGGCATGATTACATTCATCTTGAAAGATACATATACTACCTGAATATCAACGAAGTTGACTTACCATATAGCCAGGAGTACCTGCACAAGCAACGAACCAAACAACTGTAATCAACGAACATCATCTTGGAACATCGTTGGTGAAATAAGTGCTCAACGCCTTTTCAGCCAAGCGAGCGATACATCTAATTGGACTGGCATTCTAACCAATCCAAACACATCCATTCATCCGTTATAAACCTGAGTACATTTTGTAAAAAAATATGTAGATCGAGAGACTCTTAACAGCGGTCACAGTAGCTCGTACCTTGTATTGCAGTTGGGACCGCATATGCATCTGTGTCCTCGAGGGGGACGAGTTTTGACAAACCAAAATCAGCCACTTTTACATTGTACGTGTCATCCAGAAGAATATTGGCGCACTTGACATCTCGATGGTAAACAGGGGGAGACGTTCCCCAGTGGAGATATGCTAATCCCTCCGCTGTCTCAATTGCTATCTTCAAACGTAAAGTCCAATTTAGGGGTGGATGACAGAAGTAGTTGTTGTTGTCAACCACTGCCTCAGCGGACCTCTGAGCTTCCGTTGGACGTCTCATTTGGATGTGTTCGTGCAAATTGCCATTAGAGACGAATTCGTATACCAGGACGGGTACCCGTGTCTCCAAGCAGCATCCCAGCAAGTTCACGAGATTCCGATGATTCAATTGCGACAGAATGACAATTTCATTAACGAACTGTTTCGCCTCGTTTCGTGTCTCGCCCATTCCGTGTTTGGCCTTCTTGATGGCAACCTTGGTTCCGTCCCGCAGGGTTCCTTCAAATACGGTGCCGAATCCTCCAGATCCGAGCTCGACCGAGAAGTCTTTCGTTGCCTCTCGAAGCTCGCTGTAGGTGAAAAGTTTGCAGTATTTGGCACCCTCTTTGTTCTCGATCTCATTCAGCAGCTCTTGCTGTGAGAAAATTGCTGGATCGAACGCAAGCCGCCTCCTCCGAAAGAAATACCACAATAGAATGCTGTTGATGATGATGAACGCTACCACACTACCGACACTCACACCTGTTATGCGAATTGCGACAACGCATGGACAGTTGGTGATGATACTAGGTCAGAAATCTTGCAACTCACTTGTCTTGAACCTCACTCATACTTTCCGCGCTTCACATCAATATATAAACTGGACATGGCGAAAATGGAATTTCGGCAATTGGATGGAAGCAGTGATTCGCGGACGAAAAATGAACAAATACATGAAAAGTACGCACCGATTATGACGGGCAAATTGGAAGTCTCTTTGAGTCTGCAACCTGTTCCGTTTACGCGCCCGTCTCCGAAAGTTCCACCTTGGCAAGTGCAATTTAAATCGCCAGAGCTGCTGTCGAAAGTACACTCAGCATCTGGGGAGCAGACTTTGGTCTTATTTTTACACTGATCGATCCCTGCTCGTGTCAATTCACAAACCTCTATTATATCAAACTGTGGTCCGTAAATTCAGATGGACGATTATCAGGGATGAATCCCTGACAGTCGACTGGCGGGCCTCAAGTGATATCCTCTACTCAATCTCAGCTTCAATGTCGACACTAAGGAATATGGAAGGAATATGGAATATCAGGTCAAGGGAAACTTACAAGTGCAATTGTTGCCACGGTCCAGTTCCATTAAGTCAGGGCATTTACACTCATAGCTACCATCGGTGTTGACGCATGTAGCTATACTGGAGCAATTGTTCGACCCCTCACACTCGTTGATATCTGGCATGAGCACAAGTCATGTTAGCCAAGGGATTCCCAACGTTACAGTTGAATCTCCGACCTAATCAAATGAAAAGGATCCGACACATTGAAAGCTTTAAGTTTCAACCAGACAGTGCGGCATCTTCGCTGTGCGGTACCAAGATTTCCGGAACCGACCGAGACTTGAGTTTGCAGAGGAACAGGCTGAGGCATGCCATGCACTTAGTGCAACGATAAAAGCGGCAGTTCCGGTCTTGGGAATCTAACTTGTAGTTGTCATCTGAGACTTAGATTTTCAAGGTAGCGAAGGATCTGGAACAAGACGGGCATAAATCCTAGATGCACGATAAAATTATCAGCCTCAACTTGCCTTTACAGCCGGTGCCCAATTTATAACCATCTCCCTCGTAGCCCTCCTTATCGCAATGACAATAGTAGCCATCCTTCAAGTCGGTGCATTGTTCAGGCGTGGAGCATTCAAATTTCTCTGTATCCTTTGCAGCTTCAAAGCAGTTGTAAATATCCACCCCCCTCTGGATGTTATACCACAAAGCGACTCCGTAGTATCCATCACCAACTCCTTTCCCGCCTTCAACAAATGAATCTGGATACAAAAGGGTGGAGTAGCCACAATTTGTAAACTGCGCGAACGCTATTCCTAGCCCTGTCATCGATACTGTCTTGGTCAATCCAATGGTCTGAATGCAGCAGTCATAGAAGCCACAGTACGGCATCACGTACTGGTTGATACACGACACTGGACCGCACGTCGTGCTGAAACCGTTACTCAGAGAACTACTAGAACCCGTAGCCGATCCTTGAGCACTGCAAGATACGACGATGAAGACGTTCCGCTCAGAAATCCAGTAGGGGCCTTGCGCGTCCAGAGTAAGGCTGGCAGTGGCCGTTTTCTCGCAGCCCATCGCTTTGATATTCGTCGTATCTATGAGGATGAAGTTAGATTGTATCTGCGTTACTGGCAGAAAATTCACCTCGAAAAATCCATTTGTTATGGTGCCATTGCTGAAACTTTGTCCGAGAGTGGATGTGGCCGCTATGTGAGTCAGAACCGGCCACGGACTTGGTAAATGCGAAGTGAGATTTGGTCCCAGGTCGGTCCTGCAGTCCAGCACAAAGTAGGAGCTGAAGGCGCATTGTGGTGAAAGTCCGAAGGGATAGGGGATCGAGACGTTGCCACAAACTCTCAGACAGTCCGACCCATTGGATTGCAATTGCAGCCGGGCACTCGAGCCTGTCGCAGGTCTCTTCTCCGCATTTTTGTCGAATTTCTGCAATGCCAGGAAGGCGAGCACCGAGAGCGCAAGCAGAGCCACTAGGCGTCTTCGACGATTCGTCGTCATGTTCGCCCACCACATTCGCAGTTTCCACCTGCCTGAATTCTGATCCCACTCATCTTCAGACGGCATGGACCGCGGATGCCCTCTAACTCGACTTGTACGATGACGGTGGCCGGTGGATGTACTCTCCGTCTTCAGGAAGGTCGAAGTCTTGATATTCCGAACACAGATTGATCCAACTTCGAGGACTGGGTCGAATCAGCCACGTTTTCTGCTCGTGTTTGTAAACAGAGATGTCTCGGAGAACAAGCAACCAGACCACTAGCTCTATCCGTCTCCTTCGGTCTTGTGGCACACGTCCCCGCTCTTCTTCTGACTACTGCCGAGATTATTGATTCCTACATGCACAGTTTTGAAGCGGAGTTTTGCGCGTGCATCGGTAGTCGCAAGGACTCGGCTCGAAGGTCTCTTCACAGAACCGAAGACATCGTCTTCGAGTCCACGAAGACGATGTCTTCGGGTACACGCTGAACCGTGCTTGACTTTGCCTGGAGGGAGCTTAAAGCTGCCAACTCCCCCTCCCGCCATCATGAAAGAGTCCACCTTTCTCTTTGTGGTGTAATGTTCTAGTTCTCGGTTCTTCTCCTCTGTGTTTGTTGGTAAATTGCCTCGAGTTTCGGATTCGCGATTGTCCTCTTTTCGAAACTCATGGTGAGCACAGCTTGACAATTTCAACGAACTCCTCCCTTCCACAGCATGTGCGAAGACGACATCGATATCCAACTCTTCGCGAACATCCATACCGTTCGCCTTTCCTACTCCTTGCCCTAGACTCATAAACTTTTGACTTCAAGACTAAAAAAAACACCAAACAATTCTCTTTGTATATTCATGTCCTTGTCAATTTAGTTATCATCTATTGTAAAGTATGAATATCACGTTACCTAATGTCGCAAATAATATCTGATGAAAACTAAGGTTTGAAAACCTCGAAATGAAATCTGCTAATTTTTTTCACATATCAGATCATATTAACTTTTTTTTGAACTCAAAGATTAGCAGATTCTTTTAAAAATATTATAACCTACAAAAATTGTAAACAAATATTTTAAAATTTTAAATTTCAAGATAGTACACAAACTCGTTTCAATTGAGAAAGTCACAAATCTAGATTTTTTCATTCCTTTTTTATTATTAATAAACTAATTTCATCTAATTTTATTTACATAGCGTAAAATTAAAGCAACTGAAAAAAAAATCAATTAAAATCCCCTCCCCTCCCGGCCGGACATCCATCCGCCCGGCGGGGGATCCAGCTCAGGGGGTTAGGGCTGGCCACCTTAAAAGTGGTAAACCCACTTTTAGCTTAAAAGTGGTAAACCCACTTTTAGCTTAAAAGTGGTAATTGGTAGAAATTTAAAAGTGGTAATTACCACTTTTTAACATTTTATTACCTCAATCGGCGGTGCCTATAAGCCTATTTGCGTTATACAACCCCTAAACGTTAGGGGTTGGGGGTGTCCTTCATAAATAATAACACCGCTCACTACCCCCCCAAATACCAAGCATGACTCCCAGCACTGCAGTCCCGCTCCATGTTAGTATGGAGTTCAAAGTAGTTACCTGCTCTCAGGTTCCTGAATCAGGTGCCTCAAGTCTTACATAATTTCAGCTAGAGTAATCTAGCTGGTGAGCATTGTACTGCAACGGACTGCCAGATCTGGCGGCAGGTACATGTGCTCACGGCTCAACAGGTACAAATCCATCTGAATCATCTCAGCAGCACTAGCTGTGCTTTTTCGTTCATATCAAGATGGTGGGCGTCCCTCTCCTTGCGGGGGGAGGGGGTCGGGATGCGGGCCCGGGTGAGGAGGGGGGTTCGGGCTGCGGGCAGAAAGCCCGGGCGGGCAGAGGTCGCGTTCCCTCATTTTTGAGGAGCCCTTAGTGACGAGGGTCCGGGAGCTCGGGCATACTCTTGAGTGATGGAAATCTCGAATCTCATCGCACCGCAGATATGGCACGAAATATGTCTCCTCCCCTCCCCCCAACCTTTTGCCACTTCTAACTTGACTCTGCAATACAATTATAAATCCAAATTGTTTAGTATATAAAACTTTACTCTACTCTTGGCTGGGTTTTTTTAACTTATTTTAAATCATAAGAAGTAAATTTTATCTCCATAAGATTTATTTTGTTGTTAACTTTTAAAAATCAGGATTAAGAATTATAAATCACTGCTTTTAAAGTTGGAATGAAAAAATTCTATACAAAAAATATTGACTAATTTCAAAATTTTCATTTACGTTATTGAAAGATTTTATTTTATAGATTGTTTATCCAAAAGTTGAACTAATATTTTTTAAACGTTTTAAACCATCACATTAAACAATATTTTGGTAATTTTAGTCATTTTGTAGATTTTTTTTATATTTAAATTTCATTTATTATTTTCTAAAGATTTTTAAAATCAATTTTTTTATCAAAGTAACAAATAAAGAATTAGTATTTAATGAAAAAAATCTCATCAACAATTTTTATATCTGTAATCATCACACTTTAGTTAATTTTTAGTTATTAATAGTTAGTCAACATGCATGATTCATTTTAGTTCATTCAACTATATCGTGATATGTAGATGGTACTTGGATGCTATATGATCAACCTTGTTAGCTAGTGCTTTATAAATATGATATCATATTTGAGAAAATTTATGTGATTATGTGTGTTTTTTGAATGTATTTTTGCTTTGAGATTAATTATATATTGATTATAACCGTTAATCTTCATAAAAAAAATGATAACTTGGATAGAGAAATACCAACTAACAACTCCACCTTGTCTAGCAAAAATTACATGTATGATAAGTGACAATTGCAAATTAAGTATCTTCATAAATATGACGCTTTGACCTGAACATGAATGCTTAAAATTAGAGTATTGTGAGAATTTGGTCATATCTTGCTTAAATTCAACTATCTTGAGTTTTGTCAAAAAAATTAGTTAGCTGATGTTTTATCGAAAACGATTATCATAAAAAAAATCCAGTATAAGCTATCTATGACATAATTTAGATTGTCATCATTTATTATGTGCGTTTTCTAGATATGACTATGAGTCAAGTCACATATCGTAGTTCCCATGTTTCATCCTTTGAGAATGCTTGTCATTATGAATGCACTGTTTGATGTATATAATGCTAAAAAATATACATTTATAAATTTCATCATTTGAGTCGTACTTTCGAAACTAAGTTCCATTTGAATTTACTACTGACGAGTTTTTGCTAATTTTTGCTCTTCTAAGAGTGATGTTTCCTGTTAATCTTCAGACCCAAACTTTGTTTTGCACAATAAATTTCATTGAAATACAGTGAAATTTCAAATATATTCTGGAATATAATTTTCTTCATGCATGACACAAGTACTTACAACAAAATATCAAAATTTTTTAAAACATAGTTGTCTGGCTCTCTGTTTATAATATTTTAGAATTATCATGGTAATTAAGTATGGTAGATATGCAAATTTTGTTCACCAATATTAAACTTGATAGTAATCATTAATTTTTAGAAATAAAATTAAATGAAATTATATCGTGGAGTTAACTTGTTATTTTATACATACTTTTTTTCTTATGTATGTCATTAACGATCCTGAAAATTCTAGAGTCATAGCTTATCATTTAGTCAAGAAAAATACAAACTTTAGTTAATCAAATTATTTTATTTAGTCAGTTACATCATAAACTTATATGTGATAAAAGAAATTCATAACTTAGAATCTAATCTTTGATAATTACTAAGAAATCAAAATTTTTGCTAGCGTATAATTCTAAAAAATATAATATTCATTTTTCCAAGTAAGATTACAAAATAAACTTAGTCATAACTTAGATAAGATAGTCAATTATTTTGTTTCTTCCATAACACTAACAATCATATAATTAAAACTTTATATAAAAAAATTTAAAAATTATTTATTTCTTGATCATATAATATATAGATGTATTTTTTCAATCTGCAAATTTTTTTATCATAATTATTCCAAATAATGACTATCAAAATATTTAATATATTTCTTTTTATGATTGAAATGTTTCATAAATTTAAATTTTTTTCTCAATAATTTGTTTGGATTTTTTCAATTTAATAACATGATATGTTTGTAGTAACTTTGATTTGAAGTTCAAATTTTATTTTTTTCAAAATGAAAAATTTCAAATTTTTGTTAATATTTAATTGATAAATAAAAAAGAACAATATATAAAGTATGTTCATTTTCATAAATCCATGATAGCTAAAAATGAAATGCTAGCTTATATAAGTAGATTTTGAAAAGAAATTACTAGAAAATTCATTTAGAATCATATTTATTTCAAGAAAGAAAATTAGCAATAACTTCGATTTCGTAAGTGCCAATTGATACGTCATTTCTTTTACTAATTTTGTAATCGTTTGTTTAGCCAAGTGTGAGGATTGATAATTAGTGAACATGTTAATATTATTCACCATGTTTTTGCATAATATGCTAATTTCACCAATTTTTTCATGTATTTTGATAAATGAGCTAAATTTTAAATGTTTGAAATTATAAAGATTGAAACATGTAATGATTTGAATCTGAGTACATGAATTATGTAAAATTGATGTAAAAATGTCCAATGATGTAAAAAAAGTACCAATGATGGTAAAAAATGTTCATAATACTTAGACACAAGTTTTTCAAGCTCAACACAGTTGTATAAAGAATGAAGATTGATATACAAGTGTTAAGTAAATGAAATAAGTTTTTAGCCACTTGCGGAGATTTGGTAAAATGATATAATCTTCTTGTAGAGCTTTTTGAATACTGCAACACTCAGGTAAATTGAGACAAAGTACATGCCATATCAGCAACACTGAAATGCATAAGTTGTATATTGATTTCATACATCATTCTTTTAACTAAAGGTGAATATAATTAATTAAAGATCCACCAAAATCTATCTGAATGAAAAATGCCTCTTGGTATTTTCTCACAACCTCATTGGCATGACACTAATATATCTGATAAAAAGTTCTGTTAAAATTCTTAGAAATTAGTTAGATATAAAAATAGAACATCCAAAATAAAATCAAGAATTGACTCAAGTGTCTTTCATTATAAGAATAGACTATTATTAATTTCAAAACAAGTTCAAGACAGCTTATTTTCCATCACTAACGCATTCCAATTTTTCACAAAAGTCAAGATAAATCAGTGGTTGACGCGCGGAGGTTTTCTTGCAATCAGCCTTATGGTGTTGTGTGTAGAGGTTTGACAAGGCGTGACTTCGCGTTCGGAGTTACAGATCTTCTTACTCTGAACAGTGGAAACAGGCTCATTGAGTTGAACCGGTCACACCTCTAAAACTACTGGAAGGTTCTAACGTTCATTATAGTGGTGTAAGTAAACATCATAAACGAAGAAACTGATGTCGCTTTTTCTTCCACATCATTTCTAATGGGATTGATTCAATGTGCACAATTGGTTTTGAACTGTGTTCTATCTGCTGGATTATCGGGGAGAAAGCCTCTTACATCTAATGATGAAAAGATGACGGAAGAGGACTCCTTACCTTTGAGAAGCTTGTCCGCCATGCTTCTCAGAGATTTCTCTCCATCAAGAATGTTCATAACTTATTGTCGTAGCGACAGTCTTTATTCTCCGCAAGTTTATTAGATTCTATCATAATTTCAGGTTATGAACAATTTGCCTAGAGACGCACTTGTAACATTATTTTGGTCAAAATATGTTGGTAATTGTGTTCTGTTGTACCACCGCAGTTGTACGTCTCAGTATAAGTGAGAATTTCAGCTAGGTTAACCCCCATTCGAGCTAACGTTAGGAAATTAATTCGTGATGTGAAATTGTTCGTGATCTATTGGATGTTCATGCGTGATACATGGTATATGGCGTGTGTCCTCACCATAGCCAGCCTAGATACGGCTTTCTTTGGAAGACGGACATGCAGAGTGGGGAAGGTAAACTTCTAGATCTTGATCTTGAACATCTTAGCGACCTACAAGAACATGAAGTTGAAAAATGTCTTCACTCGTCAGGCAAGCATCAATCTTCCAAGACTTTATCCATTCACATCCGAGATGATGCAATCATAATTCTCACTGGGGCACCTGTTTGACTGGTATGATACGACTAACATTGAACTTAATCCTCTCTGCGGCTATGTGGACCTACCCAGAGTCATATTCTCGCATAATATGATATCTAATGGTTTTCTGGAAGTGGAAGGAAGACTAGGAAAAAGAGATCGTTAGAAAGCAATCCAGGAAATACCGATTCTAATCTTCAGCAAGAAATTGCATGAGGTTAAAATTGGGAAGCTCCAGACTTGTACCACTTACCACAATTCGGGGAAGTTCCATGTTTGTATCATGTCTAAAAGGTCTTATCATTTGTAACGAAACAACTTTCATCGCAGATCGACAACTCGTATTATACTCCAGGAATCTGTTCACTCTCCAGCTTGAACCCGATAACAGACAATTTAGCTATCATGTTTAAGATCATCTCATTGAACAAGTCGCTTTACCTAACCGATTCATTCATTGAATTTGGGCTGAAATTTTCTCATTGTATTCGCTGGTTTGAAATTAGCAAAGAATTTGATGCGGAATCAATTTTGAGATCAAAATGCAATTGAATCTTTGACCAACATGGACTGGAATTTGATGCGGAATCAAGTTTGAGATCAAAATGCAATTGAATCTTTGACCAACATGGACTCGAATTTCGGTATCAGCCTTGCCTTGTGTATTATTCGACATCTGATACATGTTCCTAACTTCCAGAATTCCAATTTCAAGCAGTTTCTGTTCCGATCATCCATATTGGCTTCTTTACAGTAACCTCGTGTAGTTCCCGGTTCCATCTTCTAGTCTGTTCAAATTAATTGGTACCTTTGAATGTCCCATCTCTGTCTCACTTTCTACCGCGTCTATGCAAGCAAATATTTGAAGTCGCTCAACTTGAGAAAGTTTTCTGTTTCTTCTCTGACCATGAGAATTGTGTCTCAGCTTCGCTGCTCTTTCCCGGTCTTTGTTCTCATCTTTGGATTTGAATCTCTTCGCCCCAGTAAGACGGCTACCGATGATCTAGTCGAGCAGAAATTGCTTGAAAAAAGAATGCCTGCGAGGCCGACCTCGTCAGATCCTCACCTGGCTAGAATTGCTAAAGAAGACGCATCGTCTCAACGAAAGTTGCCCACGCCGATCGATATCCATCATGCGCCTGTTCTTGCCAACGCCATCGTCCTGCCTGCCTGCCTGCCACTCGGAAGACGATGCCAACATAGTCACGTGCCTCCAGACGCCTGCCTCGCTCGCTCACTTCTCGGCGGGGGTCGCCTTCTTCTGGACCGCCTTGATGACTCCCACTGCCACAGTCTGTCGACTGTCCCTGACGGCAAATCGACCCAGAGGCGGGTACTCAGCAAAAGTCTCGACGGTCATGGGCCTGGAGGGAACCATGTGAACGATTCCAGCGTCGCCGTTCTTCAGGAACTTGGGCTGCTGCTCGAGCTCGTCGCCGGAGTGGCGGTCGACTTTCGAGAGCAGCTCGGCGAACTTCACCGCCACGTGGGAGGTGTGGCAGTCGATGACCGGGGAGTAGCCGCTGGCGATGTGGCCCGGGTGGTTCATGATGATGACCTGCGCGGTGAAGCTCTCGGCCTCCGTGGCGGGGTCGTTGTCGGCGTCCGAGGCCACGAAGCCGCGCTTCAGCTCCTTCGCCGCCACGTCCTTCACGTTGAAGCCCACGTTGTCACCGGGCAGAGCCTCGTCCATCGCCTGGTGGTGCATCTCGACGGACGCCACCTCCGCCGTCAGTCCGGTGGGGGCGAAGCTCACCGTCATTCCGGGCCTGAGCACTCCGGTCTCCACTCGGCCCACGGGGACAGTGCCGATGCCTCCGATCCTGTACACGTCCTGCAGCGGCAGCCTCAGGGGCTTGTCGGTCGGCCTCTTGGGCTCCTTCAGATTGTCCAGAGCCTCGAGAAGAGTCGGGCCCTCGTACCACTGCAGGTTGTCGGACCTCTCGATCATGTTGTCTCCCTCGAATCCGGAGATGGGCACGAACGGGATGTCGTCCGGGTTGTATCCCACCTTTCCCAAGTAGCTCGACACCTCGGTCTTGATTTCCTCGTAGCGTTCCTGCGAGTACGCTGGAGCCGTGGCGTCCATCTTGTTGCAGCAGCAGACGATTTGCTCCACTCCCAATGTGTAGGCCAGTAGCGCGTGCTCGCGAGTCTGTCCGTCGTTCGAGAATCCGGCCTCGAACCCTCCCGTCGTGGAGTCGATGATTAGGACTGCGCAGTCGGCCTGTGAAGTGCCCGTGATCATGTTCTTGATGAAGTCCCGGTGGCCGGGAGCGTCGATCACGGTGCAGTTGTATTTGCTGGTCTCGAACTTCCACAGGGCGATGTTGATGGTGATTCCTCGCTCGCGCTCGGCCTTGAGCTTGTCCAGCACCCACGCGTACTTGAACGACTGCTTGTTCATCTCCGCGGCCTCCTCTTCGAATCGCTCGATGGTGCTCTGGTCGATGCCTCCCAGCTTGTAGATCAGATGGCCCGTGGTGGTGGACTTACCCGAATCCACATGCCCGATGACCACCACGTTGATGTGAACCTTGTCGCTGGCCATTCTGCTAGCTCTGCTGTGAGAAAACGAGCTGCGTGATCTGAGTCAGAGAGATCTGCGCTGAGGAGTGAGAAGCAGAAGGCGAGAGACAAGATTGAGGTTCTGCGCGACGTTGCGCCAATTTGTAGTGCTCAGACTGAATCCGCAGCGGACGATGGTGTGCCGATGCAGACAGGAAACAAATGTTAGAATATTGATTCGTCATGGCCACGTGCGGGATATGCAAATAGGAGCGTTTTGTCGATGTCATGAGTTCCAATTCATTCGGAATATTGTCACCGCTGTAGGTCAGGATCCGCTTCCATTTTCTTGAGGTCGCTCTGAACGTGCATCGAGATGTTCGTCGAGCACGTACTGTTCGTAATCCATCTCCAGCCTCCAGGAGGAAATAGATTCATGAGCACTTGGAATCTGGAGCCTGCTTGGATTCAAATGACAAACTTTTCGTCAGATAAGATTTTCCTATTATAGAGACGGAATTCAAATTCGTACAAACCAATCAAAATCACCCTTCTGCCCAGAGTGAACGAGTTCACGTGAGTAAGCCTCTTCATTACGCGATTTGTTTCCTTCTTACTAGTCCTCATCTCTTGAAGCCGTTGGATTTGCAAATTCAGGAGGAGTTACAGACACCCGAATTTTGCGGCTCCCACGTGATTCCCTCAATAGGCCGAATCGTGTGGATCATAGCGATTACGTCATGTATTCATGATGTCAAATCGTGACCACTGCTTAACGTGTATGGGCGACATACGTTAAACATGAACCTGATAGAGAAGCTTGAACCTGATGGAGAAGCTTGAAATGCTCAAAGAATACTTGGACAGGCCTTCTTTGCCGAGAGTTCCGTCGATTTGACTAGTGAAACAGTCAAATTGTGAAAGAAGAAGTACAAGTGCGTGTATGATGTATGTAGTTCTGTACTGAGCATGATGAGCCCGGTCAAATGGGTAGTTAGTCCTACTATAGATAATGCCTTCTGTTTTCGGATTTTAATACGGCAGAAATTCCAAAGTGTGTTCATGATCTTGTAAAACTCATTACTCCTATTCGAAATCCGATGAAATAGAGTGTGTACCTGGGTTACAACCAGCAGTCGACGTACTAACACATATAGTTCCACCGTGTGAAACCAACCAGTGAAGTATTAGATCAGTTGCTGTGAGTGATCTATCCACGTCGATGATTGTAGTAACTGAAATAATGCATTTCGAACGTTACTTGCGTAGCATTAAATATCTGATTACTTGTCAGGACTATATACATCAATTCAGACTCAGAATCCCTGGGACTCGAGCGATCTATAGTGTGTACAGTGAACAGCTGTGGACAATTATGTCCAATCTTCGAGTCAAGCGTAAATGTCATTACACTGCATCTGCTTGAAGAGCTGCAATCTCGAATCCTGCACTGTCTTAAATGATCCCAAATTACTAAGTGATCTTACACACATACAACTCAAAACGGAGTCTAACATCAATAGATCACCTCCCTTCCATGACGGCAAACTCTCTTCGATTCTTCTATCAGTGTTGTGTCATACATTCAGGAATGTAGCTGCCTTGCAAGAATGTGACGGAGTCATCCCTTTAGCTTGTCCTCACATTTATAGATGAATTGTAAGAGAATTTCGACAGAATTTTTTGTAATATGAGGGAGACTGAAGAGATGGATAGAGTCGCGTTCAAGCCCAATCACACCGTGAGGTAACCATACTTTGAAGAGTGGCTTCCTTATACCTGAAAACCATACGGCGATAGCATAATAAAACGTAAGCATTCTACAAGCCGTATGAAATGGGCTCTATTTAATAACTAAGTTGAATAATAATATATTCACGGAGAGTTGTGATCTTTTCTCGGAGAAAAAATCACGAGTTCCATACATGTTGAGGCTACTTGCTTAACAATCAGGACCAGAGCAGTTCCTTTCGAATGGTCGTGGTACGTCTTCCAATATAGGTATTTTTCTTTTGGTTCAGTGGTTACGTTCGTTCTGGTTTGCTTTATGAATACTGGCTTATTTGTTGTGATAAAGTTTATATAATTTCATTCATGAAGCTCTCAGTAATTCTGAATTCGCGTATGGGTACTAAAGAATAGTGAATTACAGATCTGGATGTGCTTATTTCGACATTCAAGTATAAGAGTCTACAACGAGATGGGCTAAGAACTTTGGATTCGAAAACCTAGTTTAAGTTCAGAATTGATAAATCAACTGGTGTAGGAAAAAGTCGAGTTGTTACATAGGTATGCAAGCTGTTTATGCAGACACCATGTCCATGACCCGGTTGTTGTTGCTACTCGATTTGTTCCCATCTCGCGGCAGTCCAGCTATTGAACAGGGTAAGATTCATAGAAGACTTGAAGTTTATGTTCTCGACAAGTTGTTTAAAAGGCTACAAAATAATCAAAGAAAAATAAATTGGACACCAAGTACTATATCAAATATGATATGAGTACCTTTGAAGCAATAATTACAAACTCAATAAAAGAACAGTCTATAATCTCGACATTTGATTTTTCATTTTTGCGGTGCAAGTAGTATTGAGGTATTTTCAGTAGATTTTACGCTTTCCCAATAAATATTGGATAAATGCAATAAAAAATTAATGTTCACTCAGTAACATTTGAGTCCCAAAAATGAGAATCAAATATCGATATTATACACTGATCTATGAACTCAACATAGAATTTAAAAATACTATATTTTTAAAAATCAATGTCCAGTTTATTTTTATTAGCTATGAATATTACAAAACGGAAATTTGATAGTCAAGTAAGGCATAATCCACCTAATCTTGTCATGAACATATACAACGTTGGTATCATCGGCTAAGGTGTGAACCATCGTCGGTGAATGAAAGCTTCGTTCAATAGTTACAAACTGTACATCACCCACCCTCGCTCTCTCTCTATCTCTTTGTTGAGCTTTTAGGTTAAAGAAAGATAGAGTGGAAGCCTTATGAAACTTATAGGAACGAAGCCCGATATTTCTCACTGTAATAAGTACTGGTTTTAACTTTTACATCATGCTTGGATGCCTAGAGCATAACATCTAGGGCAGAGAGAACACGTAGGCCGCGAGCAACCCTAAAATAGAAACCGAGCCGCGAGATGGGGACTGATGAACGACTCTCTCATGCGCCTTTGAGTCCCCACTGACATAATTGGAAAACATGTACCACTGTTTGGATTGGTACCACTAACAAGAATGGTGAAGGAAACATACGAATAGCTGGACAGTCAAAGCTTCTCTAATCTGAAAAGAAGAGGGTAAAGAATTGTACATCTGATGGACGTAAAACAAAATAAACACAGCAATCCTGCAAGCGTTGCCTCGTCTGCTTCTCGAGCAATTCCTACAATGTACGCAGAAGAGTTGCTGTTGGCTACCGTAAGACTGACAGTCTCGAATTTGAGGGTGTTCTCGCACTTTGGCTTTTCGAAAGAGTAGAGACTGCAATTCTCATCAGCCCTTTCGGAATCTGGTTTAGGTCAAATGGTTCACTCTAGTTTGCATTGGGACAGTACACGCTAATTTGGTGTAAAAAATCACGTCAGAAATCTGGGGAGCTTGCATCTGGTGGGACACAAACCCCTCTAAACACAGCCGTTTTGTATATGTAGGGGCGATGCGAGTCTAGAGTAATTTGATCTGTGTAGGTCTGAGCAACAAGGATTACGAGCTATGATGTTCGGTAGATTCTCGTTGATCAACGCATTTGATTAGTTTTAGACTCGTTGATTGGTACAGAGTCTGAAAGCCACTGTTAGATTACTCTGCTGGATATTTCAGATCTGCTCGTCATGATGTCGTGATAACTCGTTTGGACCATGCATCTAAGATTGCTGATAACCACAATAGACCGTCGACGAAAGTAGTATGTTCTCATGCTCCTTGCAATTCCAATCAAATATTCTCCATCAACAGATCCCAAGACCTAGTTTCATGATATTAATAAATCAACAGCTGCGGAGCAGTCTTCAACTGTCCCTATCCACCACCGGCAGTCAGAATAACAAAAAACTGGACAGAAGACGAGATGATGAAAAATGGTGTGCGCGCAAAGTTTCTATTACGAAGATCTTGATACAAGTCCTCAACTCATAATGCTTAAGTTCCAAGCAACGAACGCTCTACTCGTGCTATGCCAAGGCTCCCTACTGTAGCCTCTGGATTCCTCCCGATTCCATCATCTACGGTGGATGATGTAGAGTGGCTCTTTATCTACGGTATACTGGTCACTCTATTGATGCTGTAACAAAGATTATCTCGAAGATGTTTGCTTCTTAACTGAACACCACGATCGTGATTCAGCTCATCGTCTATTTCCCGGTCTTTCTTCTTTACTCTGTGATGCCCAAATGCGACACACGGCGCAGAGGCTGACGGATGTCAAATCGAGGTAAAAATACTTGAAACGGGACAACCTGCGAAGACTCTGGATTCCTACCTACTCTATTTTACAGGACACGATCTCATTTAGGCGCCGTCTGCAGACCTGTCGCAGTCTATGCAGCGGCAGCAAGCCAACTCCGGTTCCAGTTGCGACCCATGAACATGAAACACTGAATAACGCAGGAATCCCACTTAGAACTTCGTGATGTTAACGATTTCAAGCGCTCATCGCCGTGATCATCACTTCTTCTTGGCAGCGGACTTGGTCACCTTCGCGCCGGTCGGGTCCTTCTTCTCGACGGCCTTGATGACGCCCACGGCCACAGTCTGTCGCATGTCGCGGACCGCGAAGCGACCCAGAGGCGGGTACTCGGAGAAGGTCTCGACAGTCATGGGCTTCGTGGGGACCATCTTCACAAACCCGGCGTCTCCATTCTTGAGAAACTTCGGCTCCTTCTCTATCTCCTTCCCGGAGCGTCGGTCGACTTTGGTCAGAATCTCGGCGAACTTGACGGCGATGTGCGATGTGTGGCAGTCCAGCACCGGCGCGTACCCGTTGCCGATTTGACCCGGGTGGTTCATGATGATCACCTGCGACGTGAAGTTGGCGGCTTCCTTGGCCGGGTCGTTCTTCGAGTCCGAGGCCACGAATCCACGCTTCAGATCCTTCACCGCCACATTCTTGACATTGAATCCCACATTGTCGCCGGGCAGCGCCTCGAGCAGAGCCTCGTGGTGCATCTCCACCGACTTCACCTCCGTGGTCAGCCCGGTCGGCGCGAAGCACACCAGCATTCCGGGCTTGATCACCCCCGTCTCCACTCGGCCCACGGGGACAGTCCCGATGCCTCCGATCTTGTACACGTCCTGCAGCGGCAGCCTCAGAGGCTTGTCGGACGGCCTCTTGGGCTCCGACACCGCGTCCAGAGCCTCGAGAAGAGTCGGGCCTTTGTACCATTCCAGGTTCGCGGATCTCTCGATCATGTTGTCTCCCTCGAATCCAGAAATTGGCACGAAGGGGATCTTATCCGGATTGTATCCCACCTTCTTCAGGTAATTCGCCACCTCCTTTTTTATCTCCTCGTATCTGCCCTTCGAGTACTTGGGAGTGGTGGCGTCCATCTTGTTACAGCAGCAAATCATCTGCTTCACCCCTAAGGTGAAAGCCAGCAGCGCGTGCTCGCGAGTCTGCCCGTCCTTCGAGATTCCGGCCTCGAACCCACCGGTGGTCGAGTCGATGATGAGCACGGCGCAGTCGGCTTGCGACGTTCCTGTGATCATGTTCTTGATGAAATCTCTGTGTCCCGGAGCGTCGATGACGGTGCAGTAGTACTTGGTGGTCTCGAACTTCCACAGGGCGATGTCGATAGTGATACCCCGCTCGCGCTCAGCCTTGAGCTTGTCGAGCACCCACGCGTACTTGAACGACCTCTTGTTCATCTCAGCTGCCTCCTTCTCGAAACGCTCGATCACTCGCTTGTCTATGCCTCCCAGCTTGTAAATCAAGTGACCAGTCGTCGTCGACTTTCCCGAATCGACATGGCCGATGACCACGATGCTAATGTGGAACTTCTCCTTACCCATTGCGCCCGTCTGTCTCAGAAAACACGAGTTGTGTCACCTGCGAACTCTACTACGCTGTCTCCGTCTCGAGGAGCAAAACCAGATGCTAAAGAGGACACTGAGACTGAACAAAATTTTCCACCAATTTGTAGTATCGAAACTCGAAGGTGAAACTGAATCCAAGCTATACAGTGCGTTCCTCTGTCTGACTGTTTAGTAAGGTTAAAAAAATAAATATCTTCTCGGGCTCACGTGCAGGCTCAAAGGTGGAATCTTCGAGGTTACAGCCATCCGGTCTTGTCAGAGGACGATGGCCACGGTTTACGTTTAGAATTCTACCACACCGCTGCCGTAGGTCAATCATTCAGCTTCGATGGCCATATCTCACCTCATGTACTCTTCGTGCCTCTTTCACAGTATTCCTCTGAATCTCGGAAATTGGACGCATACTGTATCTCGAGTCAACCTCAGCCGGTCTTTAGGGCTACAGATGAGCGTTGTACTGCGTAATTATCCGTGGTTCCACGGCCCCGTAAACCTCTCCCGTTTCGTTGGCCTTCATGTTTTCGACTCGCGCTGTAGGGCTCTTACAGTACTGTATTTGATTCATCCCTCCCACCTTACCGATGCTGTATTCCTTGCGAACGGAAAGAATAGGCGCAAGAGTTCAGAAGTGTAAAAGGACGGGGACCGGAAAGGACATGTGCTCTGATTAGGCAGCTCAGGGGAAAGTACAACTGTACATCGAAGATCGCATAAGTAAAATGATATTCTAATCATCGTGAATCTTGTGTGCTTGGTGTTTAAAAAATTTGCTTCCATGTGTTTGTAAACACCCCGGAAAACCTTTTTCCAGGTTTGAAAGGTTAATTTTCAAGCATGTACACAATATTTTTTTTATGAACGAGGTGCAAAGCGTGTGCAATCAATGCAGAAAATTTATATATCAACGAAGATCATGTAAATTCATGTGCAGTAATGTCCGTTGACGTGGTCCATCGTGTTCGCGATTAATTATGTTAATTCAACCTTACTGGGAGCTTGGCTTTTGATGCCAGTGAAGCCTGTAATATTCTATTATCGACTAAAATCAGGTATATATACCAATCTTTCATTCCATATGTCTGATATTTGGACAACCCAGTGTAGTCTAACGTTCATGATGATCTGCTTGTAACCACAAAATGTAGATTCAAAAACTAGCGATCTACTGGATACGAAGGTAGAGAATCTGATGTGCAAATTTCTCCTTTTTATGATTATCAAATTTAAGACTTGTAGGTGCAAGTACTGTACTAAGTCTCAATTTGGTCTCATAAATAAGTTATATTTTGAAGCATATTTTATCTAAAATGAGCGAATGAAGTTAGACCTTGAGATATTGCAGACTTCCAGTAGATCCCTTTCTGAAATTTTCACAATTTGGGGTAAGCGCGTTGCAAAATTTTAAATACAAAACTTCTTCACCCATCCCTGTGAGCTAAAGAATACTTGCGCGAAACGAACGGCTGATACGATCTGTTGAGTTTAGAATCATAAACAAATTAGCCATGGCCCTACCTTAACATTCTTGCACGGTTTTACTTTTTTGGAAACACGGACTTGACATGTCAGTAATATTGCGAAGAATTTCTTACTTGCATTGAACTTTATATACAGCAGGATCGAAGGGAGTCGCTGAATTGGGGAGTACTTCAAAAGGGCTTTGAGAAAACGCAAAATCTTCTGCGATCCCGAAGTTTGTTGAACTATTATTTTCGGTAGTAACAAACGGCCAGGAATTTGCCATAGTCTGAGTACAGTCTTCGTTCATACCAGTTATCGTCTCGACGGTTCTCGTAGTCAGACAAACTTTTTGGCCTTTTCCAACAGAAAAATCTACTGAAAATCTGAAAATTTTATTTCAGATTTCCAGCATAGTAGTGTATAGATTTATATACATGATGAATGTATGGTATGTTTGATGAAATTTTTACAATTCTTACAACCCCCGTTAATTTTTTGTCCCAGGGCTAAACTCATTCTACCCGCTTGGTTTCATCCCTGTCCGACTTGGATATTCCCATCCATCTAGCTATCTCACTCGCTCCTCCTGTGACTGAAAATCGCAAACCTAAAAATTTTCAGCTTTCTAACTAGTGATGGCCACCTACCACGAAGTCCGTAATTCCAGAGGATTGCAGGAGAGAGAGCCCACGTGGTATACAGCCTGACGGACAAAGTGAAGGAAGATGTGGATGGCTACGTGGGTATATTTTTGCCGCCAACCCACAAGGACCTTAAGTCACTCATAACGTGTGTCCTTCCGAAGGACCTTCGCAAAGATGGACTTTAAGAGAACCTTCAGACCATTTCCGATAAGGTTAACTACCTTTAACTTCAGAATTTCGATCAGTTCTACAGTTAATCAGTCAGGAAAGGAATTGGGACATTTGCTTCAGAGTTTCTTCGGAAACTCACGGGAGCCAAGAAAAGCTGGTCTGTAATAAAGCATGTCACATGCTTTATTTATATACCAGCTTTTCATGGTGGTGATATATCATATACTGCTATATCATGTACAACTCAAGTTCATCACACATGCAGCATGCGACATGCTTTATGAACTTGACTTGTACGTGAAATTGAGCTGTGCTTTAACTTAATTATATGTTAAATTCTTGTTTGAATTTTTAGATAAGATGAAGATGGAAGAAAAAGATTGTTAAAATCACATCCAATAATCAAATAAGTAAGTTTTTACTCTATATACAATTATTTTGGATAAAATTCGAATTTCCTTGAAATAATAATTTTTGAATTTTTTAAATATCAATTTTTATTGCATCTGCTATCAATTGTAGTATATAAATCAAATCATGCTAGATATCCTTACATTAATCATCAACGATACATTGATAAGATGAAATTGATCCTTGTAAGAAACACAATTTAGACTGATTTTGTTTTAGCAATCAAGCACACAAAATCTTGTGTGCTTGATTAAAATTCAAAAGTTTTGAAAATGGTGATGCAGCAAAGTCTTAAAACAAGCTGCCGCAGTGGATTGTTGGATAAAGTATATGCTTATACCATAGCTCTCATCGTTTTTTGACGATGTTGAGTTCACCCGTTGAACAAATATCTCTTATAGCAACTGCAATAGTGAAAGTCAGTGCACTAAAGAATATTGTTTAAAAAAATCGTTTTGTATGTTTACCATTTTGCCTTGTTATATGAAATTTTGACAACTCGAGTAAAATCATCTTAATTTTCACTCACCTCCAAATTACCAGCGGTCCTTCCACCTCATTGCCAAAGAATGCAGTGCGTCATAGTGTGATGGTATGAGGAGACAAGATATGTGAGTTCCATGATTCTCAGATGGTCGGTACTTCTGAGATGGCCATCCATAACCGGGGATATCGTATATTTGCCCATAGCCCAGGAAAAAGAGGGTCAAGTCGAGAAGGAGAGCCCTTTATTCTACACTTTAGTCACCGATGTGAATGTTATATTTTGAATCTGGCTGGAAAACTTCACATTTGGAATCAACTGAATGCTCTTGATGATGACTTAAAACTATGCAACTAAAACTACACACACAGAACACTTGAATGATGATGATGATACATGAGCAACATTGCATTTAGTGTATATGGATAAACTTGATAATTAATTTAGGTTGATAATAACAAATAATTTGAATCTTACAATAAATTTTATATGTTGCTTATTTTATCAACATACCACATGATCAATATGATGATAATTTAAATTTAGTCAATCCAGAATTTTGTAATAAATATATTTTAATCTATCATGAAAGTCGATAATATCAAATTGAACAGAATAAAAAAGGTAAAGAATATATTCATTTTAAACAAATTGCACACACTACATTAGTCTATTCTGTATCACATGAAGGATTGAAAACCAATTTCTAATTTTTGTAAATAGATTTTAAAATTTACATAATATAATGAGTGAATCATTTTTTCCTATTGAAATATTTAAGAAAAAATCACATGTATCACATTATCTATAATAAAACATAAAAATTATAGACAATATATCTATAAAATTGAAGAAATTAATTTTCCGTAATGGCTAGTACTTAGTATATTCATGATTATTGTATATTTATCTTTATATTGCATATCTTTGATGTAAATAATTTTGACCAATATTGATCATAAATTGATTTTCACACAAAATTTGTAATTATGTTTTATATTTATGTTGATTGATTCATGAACCTCATCCTTTTGTGAATATTCATGATAATTTTACAAACTAAGATATATCATGAAATTAGATATTTGGTAAATAACCTATGAAAATTATTCACTATCGATAGCGATGATTAGGTACATACATATCTGCTGATTTATGTGTGGTGCAAATAGTTCTTGGCAAAGTAAGGTAAAAAGTTACAAGATAGTGCATGGACCTTTACCTTACACGTTACCCAATCCGCATCACTACTATCTACTTTTACTTATACATTTAGTAAAGGTATAAGTTAACGGTATAGGTAAAGGTCATTAACCTAATGGGGATTTTCCCGTTTACATAGTACATATTCTCTATGTGAATCACAACTGTGATTTAAGTCGAATCCAAAGTCGTGTTCGGCGTCAAAAACAATGTCGGAGAATTGAGATCGGAGCATGGCAATGACACCATCTTCAAAGATCTCTTCATTTCAGCCGTCTTGCTCCTCCTCAAGCTTTTGGACGATGGACTTCAATTTTTTTCCCTCGTCTTCAATCATGACAGCCGTGATCGCTCGATGCACCATCACTTTGAGTATATTTGCATTCATCCACAACTTGAGACACATGGACATGATAAATACCAACAATGACAAGGACTGTCGCGTACACGTGAATTCACAACCAACCGCGCTATTCACCTGCTTAGATGACGTTAACGTCGTCGTCGTTCCCAGATAGTTTGTTGCCATTTGGTAATACCCGGCTGCGCATCCCTTTCGGCCAGATCATCATGACAAGAAATCGATGAAACCCGATGCATGAACAACACCGATCAACAAGTACTGATTGACCTTATCGCCAGTTTCAAAGTTGACACTGTGCGGTTGAAACATTGTGGCGAATAGCGAGTTGCAGGACGTTTTTGATGGCAGATCTTTCCTATTGATCGAGCTGATCTCGGTAGAGTAGTGCCGATGTGGGACGTTGCATACAATTTTAGTGATGATTATGAGCTTGGCTGGATCAATAGCCTTTGGGATTGGGAGTTAAGATAAGCTACGATTATGGTTGGTTCTTGCACCAGCTTCTACTCATAGAATTGCAATTTCATCTTCATGGAATTCGCCCTCAGCGTAACATGTATCTCTTGCAGGTTTTGCTTGCCGTCATTGCAATGTTTGATCAACATGACGACGGACAATGACACAAGATCAAACGTTGGCTTGAAATCCGCCGCGAGGTTTTTCATGAACTGTTGTGATGCGTGAAGAAAACTTGACATGTTGGCAATTACCTACCACTCCAAATCTTGAAGAGCCCGTTGACCAATGTCGTACTCGTATTGATCCATGATCGTGTCGACAACAACGCGCTTGCAAAAAGCGCCTTCACACATTCAATGCGTATAGTTCCATTTCGTTGGCAAATCTGCATGTGTTGGCTATGTGCTACTCAAACTAAAGCTTGAGGCCTCGATCTAATACTGTTGCCGGATGACTTTGTTATGACACATCTTAACCAAGCCGTTCCGTAGATGCTTCCTGGACTGGCAAATGAGCTTCAAGACGTGCAGCACCGCAAGCTAAACGGAGTGGTTGGCGCACCGCACATTGTTGCACTTGCATAGTTGCTCGTACCCGACAAAAACGTTCACGAGCTGGAAGAGATGCACAATCGCGTTTGTCGCATTCGACCCATTATCGCTGCTGATGTTCAATATGCGCATGCGGCCCATTCAAGTGTTTGAGTAAGTCTGTCTCGACGCGCATGCCAACACCAGTCCCGCACTTGACATCCAGGATCGTCAGCAAAATGCTCTTGGCCTTCAACATGACGACATCCATCCAGAGAGCGGTGACAACGTAGAATTCCTTCAAATTTTAATTACAAAAATCGTCCATAGTCAACGAGATGAAGATGGTCAAATTGCAAAGTAATGTCGTAAGCGTTGGCTCGAGTACACGATGCAACTCAACAATGCGTTGGAGTATCATGCGAGTCGACGGTAGCTCATATCAGTGCGTCAATGCCAACCTCATGTAGCGTGACATCATCTTGCATGACGTAATCAATGAAGGCGTTCTTGAACTTTTTGACGACGAGTGTGGGAACATAGGCATGTGGACGCAGCTCAGCATCACCTGGACCATATGCTTGCAGAAAGTGTGGACGAGGCGGTGTTGTTATCCGTGTTGATGTGCAAGCACTGGTGCGCCTTTCATCTTGATGCATTGGTCTTGTGAGAGAAGCACTTGCAATACATTGTGCACTGTTGCTGCTGGCATTGTTGAACAAGATTGTTGGCCTTCCTGTCAGGTATATAAGTCCAAGGATAGGATTTTCACGGTCGTTTGGGTTTTGAGTTGACAACACGTTGCGCATCGTTGTTGCGAGACACGGCTGTAGGAAGGGATTCGCCATTGTAGAGCACCGCAAAGTAGCTATGGCTACTTGTGCTCATAATCTTAGAATATGTCAACAAATGAAAAATTGCGTGATGAATTTGACTGTGAAACTCATCACACAACATCACTGATGTTGACTAAAATCAAAACCCTAAAATAATTATCACTTGGAACTAAGTTGGAACATGGAAATCTGCCATAGACTATGCAGCCGCGCCAATGATTACGTGGCGAACTTTTGCAATGGACAAGGGTTATCCTGTAATTATCGGTTAATCGATTCAACTTTACATTTACTGTACACGCTATCTTACATATAATCTAGACATTACATTTTACCTTTATCTTTTATCGGGTAAAAGCAAGAGATTACCCTACTTTGCCAAGGCCTAGATGCAAATATGAGTAAGCATCACAAAATAATGCTTATATATGAATCATAACTTTATCAAAGAAGAGCAAGTAAATATCTGTTACTAACAGTAAATACTTGAAGTTCATTAGAATATGGATTAACTTTCCTTATTTGATAGCACTTTGTATCATTACCTTTACAAAGTAGATTGCTTTTTTATTTTCTATAAAATACTATAAATAAAATCTACTGAAAAATAGAAATATTTTTATTTGTCAATAGATGATGAGCTCTTTTACGTATGTTATATTTTTCTTTTCCAGGTTCTGGTAATTCCACAGCTGTAATGGTATTTCATAAGTGTCAAATTTATTTTTTAAAGCACGTCCTCCTCATTTTAAATCAGTTTCATGTCAGCCTAATTATGATCGTATGAGAACTTTTCATGTTATTGTAAATTTGACGTTTTCGTGGTATAGATGGTTGTGGTCACACATAATGTGGGCTACATGTAAACAAGAATTGATAATCTTAGCTCTAAGAATATGTACTTGCTTATCCAAGATGCACTTCTGCTGAGAACATCTCTTCAGTAATTCTCTCGGGGCAAACTAATATCTTTGTACTTTACGAGTTTTCTTGATTGAGAATTCAGGCTAAAAGCCCATAGACTTATGTCACACGGTTCATTTTTTTCTTTGTCCGAAGCATACAGGATTTGGGAAATAATTCAAATAAGCCAATAGGCCATCCGTTTCGTTGTGAAGGTGAAGTGATTCCCGTGTTGTCCCGATAAAGATGAAGACCACATGGATATGCCACCTGCTTGGGTTGTCGGGGACCAGACTGATGGTGACCAGTTGAGTACGAGGACAAATCTCCACCTGCTGGAGGTGATGTGAGAGTGGCGTAAGAAAGGATTTTTGTTTTTAGCTTCCTTGGACCTAACACTCTTCGATACATGTAGCAGAGATGGCGTCGATTTCTCCAAATTAAGATGAGTGGAATAGCTCCAACTGCCACATTTGTTTTCAAGGGAGAAGGTTTCTTTCCAGCTTCGTTAGTATCTAGATAAGTCTAAGAAACGCATCGAGCGTGAAATTTTTTATTTTTATGTTAGCCCGTTCAATCGACATATCACAGTATAGCAAGCGTTTGTGATTTTAGAAAATTTGACCTCATGGTTTACGATAGACTTTCTGATTTGTTTGCATTCGATCGTGTTCTGTTGCTCGTCTTGAATCTAAGTTCAACCATCTCGTCCCCATGGATTCATGAAACCGCATACACTTGACAACAAAACGTCGAGAATCAGATTTGAAAGAAATAGGGGAGCTTAGTTTCTACCGGAGACGATGTAGAGTCTATTGACGCGTAGATATTCGGTCGCAGTCAGAAGAGAATGGAGGAAAAAACAATGTATCGTACGGTCACTTCTACAGCCACGGATAGAAGTGAGAATACATACAAAAGATACGACTTTCGGAAAGAAAGACAGGGAAGATTTCACATTTTACTACCGTGAGCGGTGACGAGTTACCAGAGCAAATAAAGAGCAGGGGGCGATCACGAGTTCGGGACCTTTAGGTGGGGGGCAATGACAATCAGTTCGGGAAAAGCAAGTAAACGGCGTCAATGGAAAGCCCGAAAAGGAAAAGAAAAGAAGGGGGAAAGAAAAGAAACGATGGGTGACAGACAGTCTGAGCATCGGGTAAGCGCGCACACATGGAACGAAGGCTCGAGCGAGGGAAGACGAGGACAACGAGAGCGGACAGGCGGAGCCCGAAAACAGGAAAATAACAACATTAATCGTGGGAAAGCAGTCAAAACACGGCAAATCCTCGTATGTGCAGTCGTACTAGCACAAGCGTTTCTTCGAGCTCTAGGCCCTCTGGACTCCATCTCTTCGCGGGCCAGCGAGCATATTCGTCGAGCAAAGTGGCTGTCAAGCAAGCGAGCGAAGTGCGGTGCTATGCAGACGGGTTGTTTGTGAATTTCAGCTAAGTTTAGAGGGGGGCAGGGGCCGCCGGATTTAGCCGGGGGATGAGAAAGAGCGAGAGTTTAGGCTACAGGAGTTCATTGGCGTGGTGGGGTAGTGAAGGAGGCGAAAAGGGGTAGTCATGTTTGGAGTGAGAGAAAGAGGAGGAGGGGGCGTCCTGCTTAGAGACAGAGGCGGGGATGTTGATTTTGTGGAGCTTTATGCCGATGGCGGGGGACGTCGCGCGGTGATCAGCGCTAGAGAGCGGAAGGAAAGAGAAGAACTTAGAAATCGACATCAGGTTTATCAATACGAAGACGAGACTGGAAGAATAGTCGACGGGATGGAGTGGATCACCACGCAGCACTTGGATCTGTCGCCCGGCAGGGCGGGTGCTCCAAGTGTGCAGCCTCACTGCGCTGCGTTTCATCACTCGCAGGCTTTGTTCGCTGCTGCTGTTGGGAGACATATCATCGGTACGCATACTCCGATCAGCTCGATCTTGTCTTTCCAGGTTATGGAATCTATTAGAATCAGGCCAACTCCGAGCACCTGTTGTTTGGGTCTGATTTGGAGGGCAATTTGTGTTGGTTGGGCGCAGAGTTTGACGCCTTGACAGGATGCAAGCTTTCGAGCATAGACATTGGTGCGCCTGTTGTGCGCATGGCCTACAGTCCTGCTGGTGGGCACATCATTGTCGCGGTTCTTGAGGTACTTGCTGGCTACAAACTTGGTATGAGCGTACAGTATGTCAGGACTTCACAGATCAATTCTAGCGACCTTTCAGTCCCTGTCATGTTGCCAGACATTGGGTGTGAACTTGATCAGAGCCTTTCGTCGTGGGCATAGAAGGTATTCTTGGGGCGACATTATTCCGGCGATACATCATGACTTCGGAGCTTGAACAGATAGAATGATGGATAGATCTATACTATCGGACTCGGAGGGGGCAAGCTGGCGTACAAAGACCATTAGGGCTGAATGTGGAAGTGGATCAGGTGTAAAAGGTGATCAAGCCACTGTACGCAGTAGAGGATGTTCCATGGGATTTCGTTCTACTGTTGATAATGATATTGGGAGGAGTTGGTACCAGAAGAGTTGGTACATCTCATTTGAAGTGGCCGGAATTAGATCCTTAGAAGGGAGACAGTCTCGTGCCGCGGAAATTTTTCGACCCAAGGAGTGTCTTAACATTGCAGCTTTCACGAACTTATGAAAGCTTAAATTTCGAAAGATATCCAAAACATACAAAAAATACCCTGTGATTCGGCTCCCACTCCAACCATTCCTGCAGCTAACATTCTCCTGCGTTTTCGGTTCAGTTTTAAGATCCATTGAGGGTCCCGTGAAAGTGTTAAAACATTGCTTGTGCTCAACTCCACCTATTTTCACTATGGCCTGGAAGCCATGCCTTGTGATACAATAATGTTCTTACTACCTAAAATGTGCTGGAATTTACTATTTATTGATCTTGTGAACTTTTCTTAAAAACTTCTCTTTGTTTGTGGCTTGCAGGACTGGACCATTAGATCATGGGACCTCGAGACTGAACACACATATGTGTTGTATTCTCCCGGTGACAAGAAGTCTAGCAAGGTTCCAGGCGGTTCTGTTGAAGTGCATATTGCCCTCACGCCACTGCGACCGTGGCTTTTCTTTGGTGCCCACCTTCGCATGAGTGTAAATGGTGAGACTCATTTTAGCTCGAACATGCTCTCACCTTTTCTTTTGAAATTCTGTACGGTTGGAATTATGAGAAGCTTCCTTTAGGCACGGCCAGATGATTCGGTAAAGTTTTACGGATTGTTCATCATTGGGGCCTTTACAGCCACGCCACTCACTTTAAGTTGCAGAGTTGTAAAAGAAGTGCCGATTTTGAACTTCTCGTGTTTTGCCTGGGTTTGAGCAGTTGTTGGGACGATTGAAGGCGTACGAGCCGCCACTAAAATAAAGGCAGACCTGAAGAAGCCTATAACTGACCTTGCTTGCCATCCCCGAAGCCCCCTTCTGGTAATTCAAGCTCTCTCCCTCTTGTCATCCTCCTTCAATATTTTATTCAACTGAGACTTGGCTGCAAATGTTGTAGGACTTGCATCTGTTTGACTAGCTGATTCAGATAAATTCTCATTTGGTTGTCTGGGCTCTGGTGCCAGTACGTTGCCTACGCGGATGGTCTGGTTCGGGCATATAATATACATAACTTCAGTGTTCAGTACACTCTACAAGGTATTTCCACTTGCTCCAAGATTATGGATTGTGCTCCGTTCCCTTTGTGGGTCTTTGGTCCTGAAAGCTATGAATAACTGGTTCTTGGCTGTCCGATTACGGCATTATCTTGTTGTACTATTTGAACAAGCCATTGAGCACTCAGTTTCGAAAGTGCATTGCTCATCTGGATTCCATAGTTGTACTATCTAAACAAGATGTAGACGAAGTTTGAATTGTAAGTAGTTCGCAGGTTTTTGTGGTTTTCTTTCCCCAAGACCCATGGTTACTTCAGATTTTTTTGGACTGCTGGGGCCTTTCTCACAAATATGTCCTGGATTATCTTGGAGTGGTCTATCATCGCATTAAAACTCCCGCTAATTTGTTCACGTCTTTTGTCGTCCTGCAGCTGATAATTCTATTAAATTAATCGGAGCAGGTGCCTTTGCATTCCACTCCCTCTTAGAATGGGTGTTTGTGGGTGATCGAAGTGGGACTCTTTTAGCTTGGGATGTCTCCGTCCCAAATAGACCAAGCATGATTGGAATGTAAGACGCATCAACGTGTACTCTTTATTCATGTTGTTAATTAATACTGCGATGAATATATTCCGTTTTGTTTGTGAAATCACATGTCCTGCTTTGTGATCTTGTTACTAAGTAGAGATCGTTTTCCGCGTCATAATTTAGCGAGTGACGGTTGGAGATGCATGTTTCGAGATGTATCTACAGATGTAATATCAATAATTGGTTCATCTTATGTGAATTTCAACGGCATCTCTTTCATCGTTGTACAGAACGCAAGTAGGAAGCAACCCTGTTGCAGCGATTGCATGGCATTCTATGCTACAGTTACTCCTTACACTGTCGAAGGAAGGTTCGGTGCAAGTCTGGAAACCACGAGTAATATTAAACCCCAATAGACCACACTTGCGAGCCAACTTTTTCGAACCTGCTGGTAAGATTAAGATGGTTGCTGCGTCAGTTTCTTTGCTTAGGCCTTTCAAGGAAACCTCTGAAATGACTTGTGTAGTAGATTCTAGACATGAGATGAGAGAAAGGAGTGAATAGGTCTTATTGTGTCGAATGGTTATTAAATTATTGGTGTAGGTCACAACTCTTACTTGAGAAGCGGAAAGGTAGGAGCTGTTCCTTCAAGTGTGCTCTTCAATTCAAGGAGTCTAATTCAAAGCAAAAGCAGAGTGACAGTCTACTTATTCAGATTTACGTTGTATCTTAACGATTGGCAGGACTAGAGACGTTGGACGTAGGGAACGTTTTGACCCAGTTTGGTGGTGTTCCCGTTTATCCTGTACCACGCATTGTGGATCTCTTGGTCCATCCTAAGTTAAACCTGGCCACCATCTTGTTCGCTGTAAGTTGTTTTAGTTGTACAAGCCCTATCTGACTCGACTATCAAGCCCTATCAAGCTCGACTTTAGATGTTTTCTTGTAATTATATATCTGCGAATATGTGTTAGTTGAAAGTCGGAAATCGAATTTCTGCTCTTTGATTGTTACATTCTTGTTAGAGGTTCACATTATGGTAGTGACATGATTTACAATTCTAGTACCAGTGACGCACCCAAAACTCGAGTCATGTTGTAATGAGATTCTGTGATTTATTTCTCGCTTGCACTCGACTTAGCTCCTCCTCATTAAGTTTGACTTTCTATTTGCTGACGTGAGGACAGATCATAATCACAATTGAGGGGTTTCGTTCTCAGCTCCTTAGTTGGATAAAGAATCAGTCTTTGTTTTAGGACGCTTGGAGTAAAAGCGCACATTACAACACGAACACTTAGTAGTACTGATGGAGATATGTACATTCGTTCATTGGCTGGAATAGAGTATGGCATCAGGAGAAGAAGAGACACGAAAGAGACAATTGACAGTCTCGAAGGAAGCAAGAAGACAACTCTTCACTGTTTTACAAAGTGCGAGAGGTTCTCCAGGTTTGTTCCGCCTCAAGCCTTACCTCCTTCTCTTCAATCATAAGTTTCTGTGTTAAACGTGGCTCACGCTTTGATAGTGAAATATTGCGCACCTCACTGAGTAGATACCATTCTGGGGGAACCGGACATATGTGTTGTGTGTAGAGAGTATTTGCTGTATAGCGAATTTATCAATTCATTTGTTCCTATCAAGTTACTCAGGATAGGATCAAATTCGACATGTCTGTAGACCAGATCAATTCTAATGCTTGATTTTGGGCTGGCAGTTTCTGTTCTGAAGGATAAACTTTCAGCCTTGGGATCTTCTGGAATAATGCACGGTCACCAGCTTCTGCATCAGGCTCGAGCACAGGCCGGGTAAGTGAAAAGGTTTAGAAAGTCCGTTATAGGGTAGGTGTCTTGAACATGCTTTCGGGTAAGGTCGGTCTTCCATCCAAATGCCAGTTCATAGACCACATCAACTGTTCGGTCACATGCTTCTAGCTTTCAAACATTTCAGTCTGCTCTCTCACTCTCCAGGGTCTATTATGATTTTGGCATATTATGGTTCCTTAATCTAGTTTCAGCGTGCCTTGCATGGAAGGGACTTTTCATATTTGTCTGGATGATAGATTTGTTGGCAGTGCTTGGCCTTTTCAGTTCCCTGAAACGTTCGTCATCGCTTGCTGGTTGCAGAGGCACACAGCTCACAATGTCCGACCTTGCAAGGAAGGCTTTCCTGTATGGAGTAAGTTCAATCACCTCCCAATTCAGTTATTTGGTGGATTTCTGTAAATTGTTCGATGTGCTTACATCAGCTTGTTCCAGTACGCCAAATTTTTATATGCTTCAGACACCCTGATTCTGTCTTTGAAAAACCTGGAAGTTTGTAGCACGTCGGTAAGTCAACGGCCTTATGACCCTAAGAGAAGATGGATTGTATTTACATTTGTTGGCTGGTTATGGAGATGAAGTATTGGAAATAAAGTAAGAAACTTTGGGATTGCCAAATTTGATGTCTGACTTAAGTTAAGCGTGGACCTTGTGCAGAATTCAGCCAATGAGCAAGTGAGAAGTGGGCCAATCATGACTTTACCTTTGCTTACAATTGCTGACTACAGTCATCTTCTGCGAGATGTTCCAGTATGCCAGGTGAGGTCAGCAGGAAAATTGGTGTGTATTTTGTCTCTTGGCTTGGAATATATAAATGAAATTTTGTAATCATGTCTATCAATATTGTGTCGTGGCTCCTGGGTAGGTAATATTGTCATATTTTTTCACAAGGACAAGGATAATCTTCATCAAGCCTGCAAGTCAGGCGTTTACTGTCCGTACTTATTTGGTATGATAGCAGTACTGACTGAAATGTTGTGGTTGGGGCGAGCAGCCGTTGCAGCAAGAACTCAAGTTTTTCAATTCAGAGCAGCGCATCTTCAACTACCCCGTTAGAGTTTTCTTCATGGATGCTTGCAACCTTACATCCTACAACCTCACCAACGGCGACTACAACATTTACAAGAAGCTCTCCACCACAGTAAGATTGTCTACTCTTGGTGATTGGAAAGTTGATATGCTTGGTGTCCAAATTTAATGTGCCCTCTTCCGTGTTGGAAGTGAAAATGTTGTCCTGTGGCTGTGTAAGAAGGTGTATCACCAGACCTCCACCCTTTATCATTCTCCACATCTCTAGTAGCAGATATGTTTTAGCGATCCCTCTCTCTCCTTTTAAAGTATCCTATCTCCTCCGCGTCCTTCATTATATTTAACTTCTTCCTGGTACTAGAACTCCTCAGCGAAGGCGCGGATTCTTTGGTTTGGAGGCCCCGAGGGACAATCAGTAATACGGGCGGTTTGTTTTAACTTATTGAATTCTTAGACTTATCAATACCTGTTGTGCGGATAGGCAATTGGTGGAAACGAGAGAATGCCGAAACACATGATTTACAGCAGGAAACACCATTTGTTTATGATCTTCTTCGAGTGCCGGGGTGCACCCAGCGAAGTAGTCTTGTACCGCGATCCTATGGGTACACATTCGGCGGCTGAGCGAGTGAACACCGTGGCAGGTGACTCTTACTTCTTAAACCATCATCCATGAAAGAGATGACATGTGGGAACTTTCTCTGAAGTTTTGTCTAGGAAGTATTATAGAAACTCATCACACTTGTAACTATCGCTGTGTAGGTCGTGATGGTGCCTTTATCGGACATCAAGAAAACCAATATGCCGTTCTGGAGGATGATGGCATGGGTCTCGTTTTGAACTTTTTGGAAGAAGAACCAGATCTTATGACTGGTGGTTCTGCTAGGCCGTCTTTCAGTGTGGAGGGAAATGGAAAAGAAAATGGTCTTAAGAAGCCCAACGGTGTACCTGTTGCTGATGCAATCACATTTGAGAAGTCCGATTCAGACACAGAAGGAGAAGAGGAAGAAGCTGAGCAGCCTCCTGTCAGTAAACCAGAAGGGCCAAAGCAGCGTGTCGCTTTGCAATTTGTTTTCGACAGCACCGTGCAGCGCATATTTTCATCGCCCCTCGGTATGGTTGTTTCCAAATTTGGAAAAATTCCTCTGGGAGCCCAAATGCTCATGGGACGAAGAAACACCTCGTCTTGCTTAGTCCTTAAGGGGTCCAGAGTATGCTTAATTTTATTTCAAACTTCAATTAGTTACTCGAATTGCTGGTGAGTGTGTTTGTGTAAGATCTAGAATCCTTATGCAGGAAACACAGCCTGTTGAACGCTTGATTTTTGAAGTGCTACATATATCACACAGACAAACCTTCTATTTTTTTACCCCTACTTCGAAACCCTTTACAATACGTACACATTTCCTACCAGAACGTAGATTTAATAGTCCACCTAAGTGTACTCAAGTTTAAACAGATTGCCTTTTCTTTAAACTCAATGAGGAGATTTTTTCTGGTTTATTCTTGCAGAAGCAACCTTACTTTATGTTCTGGCGGACAGTCATCTCGGTTTGGCTAAAGTGTCTGCTGACGCTTATGCCGCCGATGGAGGTCACCTGATGCTCTCCACCAAGCCGGAAGCCGGAAAGTTCTTGAAGTTGATGCCGCTAGAAAGAGTTTTACAGGTAAGCTCATTCTGTTACTAGTTTGTCATGAGAGTGACTTTGTCCTTATACTCCTGTCTGTAGCTGTTGCATACCCTTGATACACTTTACTAATGAGTGAACTGCGAATGGTTTGAATATCACAGATTCGCTGGCAAGAAACTTCAACAGGCCAAGCAGCTGGTATCATGACTACCCAACGAGTCATGATAACGTCAGCCAATCTTGAAATATTAGCCAGTACTTCAACAACTTGGGACAAGGGCTTTCCTCCAATATCCTCCATATAACTTTCTATTCGAATAATCTGTTACTTCATAAAACTAATCGATATATTTCTATGCACGAAAGTTCAAAATACATGCGAATTACCAAATGGAAACGTACAACATCTGATAGACGATTATCACACTAGGACTAGTTTATATTTCACTATATACCTTTAAAATGTCATAGATGGTTGTTTCTTTAGTTGATCGAATTGAGGAGAGATTTTTTGAACATGTGAAATATTTCTTAACTACAATTCACTTCAGATCTCTCGTCTGGGTTGGACCAGCCCTGCTTTTCTCCACAGCTACATCCGTTGTAATACTAGGGTGGGATGGCGTTGCTAGACCTTTGGCCACAATTGGCACTCCAAATGCCTGTGAGTTTATTGTATTCCTGTTCTTATGAGCTGAAATTGTCATCCCTTTCCGCATTCTGTTTTACTATCGAGCTACGTCAATTCTATTTGCCAACTATCTCTTTACTTCTTGGTCGTTCGTTAAGAAGATTTCAGTATGTATATTCCTTTGAGAGGTTCTGAAAGTTCTCGGGTTTCTAACTTCATGTAGCACGATGGACTAGAACTATGAAACGTAACGAAGAATCATCTCTTTTATTTGAAATTTAATATTATGCCTAAGTGCTATCTGCTGATCGCAGCTTTGATCGGAGCTTTGAATGATCGTCTGCTTCTGGCCTGCACGAATGATCCTAATCCAAGGAATAGACAAATGGTGGAGGTCAAGACACGCCTTCTTGGGTTACTTGAGCCTTTGATGATTGGATGGACGACGTTGCAGAAGTGTTTCGAGCCGAAGCTTGACCTGACAGAGATTATGTATCAGCTAACCTCAAGGTATTGACAGGTCTTTTTCTGCTTAAAGTCCGCCTGTAGAACGATGTAGTCCTTAAACCAAGGAGACCTAGTTTGACTATATCAAGGCATCAATGTTTCTTGAAAGAATCGTATCTTTAGCTTACTTGTCTGCCTCAGTACCGCAGTCCACGTCAATGTTTATGATGTTTTCCCGTCTAGATATCAGGTTAGTCCTCTGGTAGTAAGCGAACTACGGAACGTTGTCTCCACCAATACAGTACGCGCACAAGCAGAATTTATGCGCCTTTGTCGCCCTGGCAGTTCACCAGTCACTAATGGTGTTTCAAATGTGGGCTTGCAGATTTGATAACCTTCGCGTTACACCCCGGTCACTGGATGTTCTTTCGAGAGGACCACCCGTGTGTAGCGATTTAGCAGTCGAGTTGGCCCAGGCGGGTCCTCAGTTCACTCAGGTGAGATTTCGATATGTTAACAATGTGTTGTCGTTTGTTATCAGTATAAGAAGTTACTTTTGTTGTTGTCGTCACAGGAACGATGAATTTCTCCATTCAGCCTTACCAGGTATCTGATGAAGCCCTAGGAAGATTTGCAAGGCCTGCAAACATACTAAAGCAAAATATTTGGATCCTGCGGCAGAATACGATGTGCCTGGAACTATTTTGCAACTTTGTCCATCCCTCCCTCTGTGACGGGATGAACAAGTTTCCTGTTGATTAGTTGATGGAATTATCTGTCTTTTGCATGCAAGACAAGTCTTGTCTTACCTCCTCTGCTGCCGCAGTCCAAGGGTATGCAATACACCAGCCTTGATACACAGATCCAAGCAGCCGCACTCTTGTATCATACTTCTGCATTTTTTGGTGGATACTTACAGATTATAAGGGACTGTCTTGACTCTCATGTACTGTTCTCTCCTTATCCTCTTACTTCGGCTCCTCCTGTCTCCTTTTCTTCTTCATCGTGCATATATATAGTCTTCAGGTAGTATTTCAGTTTATTATTGTTCTTGTAATATGTTACCCTTCCACTCTCTCTTACTACCGCTTGTCCCTGCTGTATGCTGAGTGCTTTTTCCAGTACTAATGCCAAACTGGGAGGAAGTTCGGGTTGCCTTCGTTTCATTTTCCCCTGTGCGTTTAGACGTTGGTACTGGGTCCCCATTGGTGGATCTGAACTCACCGCTACCTCCGATTGAAACTTGAAGTTTCATGGATCCTGTAAGCGGGCTGACGATATCCTGGAGGTAGCGGGAGCGACTCAATACACGCTCACATTCCATGTTGAAAACAGCATGTGGATTCTATTTCGTGTTTATAGATAAGAAGCTCGCACATGCCTTCCGTGGTACCTTCGTGGTACCTGCTAACAGTTCTCTTCCAGTTCCACATCTTTTCTATTCTTAATCTCTTCTTTCATGGATTGTCATCTGCATCTGTTCGGCGTTTGCTCTCTCTCGGCCTTTGCTGTTTACGAGCATCAAACAGAATCAAATGGTCTTAAAGCTGGAAAAGGACAACGAATATATTTTATCACCCGGAAGATCCTATTGTCGATAACGTAAACCATCACGACGCGTGATTGCAGGAGCTTCGGTGTAAATATGCTATCCAGGCACGACGTTTCGATACCGCCCTTGCTATACTGAAGGACGAGTATCTCCGTTCACGAGATTATCCAAGATGTCCACCTACCACTCGTTTATTCCAGCGCTTCCGAGAGCTTGGTCGTGCTTGTATACGGTATGTGTTTATGGTTCTTGGACGTTCTACATCCATAAACTTGGTACCCTTCCATGTACCATCATCTAAAGAATCGCCTGGGAATTGAGCAAAATAAGTATGAACTGTAATCTACTTCGCTTCGGTATATACGAGGCTGAAATTAGTTATGGGTTTACGCAGACGTTGGAGATTAGTGTAGGATTTTGAAATGAGCTACTGAACATTTCGTCCTGTGTTCTCTTTTATTATGAATAGGATCGTTGATGGTGGGGGCACTGATAAATGGCTAACTAATTCGGTTTTTTGTCAGATGTGGGCAGTTCGACAGGGCTAAGGAAACTTTCGAGGTTGTTTCTGATTACCAGAGTCTGCTTGATTTGTTCTGTTGCCATCTTAATCCGAGTGCAATGCGGCGACTCGCTCAAAAGTTGGAGGAAAACAAGGTCGATTCAGAGCTCACACGTCATGTTGCCAAGATTTTGACAGTGAGATCCGTTGGTTGGGGTCAAGGTGGAGCATTTGCTAACTTATCAGCAGAGAGTATGGCTCCCAAGGGGCTTGAATGGGGAGGAGGTAATTGGCAGATCAAGACTACTCCGGCCATTAAAATTGTGCCCGAGTGGGAACTTTCGGGCGAGGTAACTGCATACATGAAAACTCCTAATGGTGCCATTCCTACCATCATACCCGAACACATTGGTGTGTACTTGGGTACTTTGAAAGGCCGTGGAACTGTGGTTGAAATCAGAGAAAATCTGCATGTTCGGAAGTTCAGTTCAGGTGTTTTGGAGGAAAATGGTGGTGCTGGAGATTTACCAGCTGGGCTTGCACGCTCAGCCTCCAACAAATCAAAACTTTCAGAAGATGATGGCACCAAACCAGGAAGCGGAAGGGCAACCGCTTCGGGTGCACAAAAGGGTGAGAGTGAGTCAGATGCCCAGGCTAGAGCAGAGGAGGAGTTTAAAAGAGGTTTGTATGGTCTGGAGAAGAGTAGCAGTGATGAAGAGGAAGGCACTGTGAACACTAAGAAGCGCTTCAGCATTCGAATTCGCGAAAAACAGGCCGCTGCAAGTGCAGTCGATGTGAATAAGTTGAAGGAGGCAACCAAACAGTTCAGACTTGGAGATAGCATGCATGGAGTGCGAACTCAGCGGCAATCTGCTGGCTCAGGAGACATGACAGCCACGGCAATGCCTACATTCACAGCTAATCCAGCTCCAGATATGCTTGCTCTTCCCGCTCCGCCCATGGGTATGGGAGCTCCACCCATGCCCGGTGCTCCACTTATGGGCATGGGTGTGCCGAGTGGACCCATGATGGGTGTTGGTGTGGGTACCGGACCTATACCAGAAGACATATTCCAGGGCGATAGTACTGTCGCTACATTTCAGGCAACACCTTACCCCCCTGGTGTGGCCTTTCCTGGACAGCAGCAACCAGGATCCGCACCTTTGCAGTGGACCTTTCAAGGATTGGGAACTCCTCAGCAAGGTGCGCCACGCTTTCCTGACGGTGGAGTGCCTCCTCAAGGTGGTCCTCCACAGCCTGGAAGTTATGAATTGGCGAGTGGCATCCCTCCCCAGGCAGTCCCAGGACTTGGATCCGAGTTGAGTTTGCCTGATGGTGGAATTCCACCCCAAGCCGGAGTCACCCCTCCAAGTGCGGAGACTTCGAAGGGACAGCCGCCTACAGATCTCAGTGCCCTAGCAGGACCTGCAAAACCGCAATCAACCTTACCGAAGGGACCGTTGAAGCTTGGACAGGTATTTCATATCAAGTCTTTTAGCGATGTATTTCAGATGACGTTATGCTCTCTGATGCCTTTAAAGTATGGCGTTGTAGTTTCTCCGTGTTCTGAAAATGTACCAGATAGCGAACCATATAGATTCATCTCATATCTCCCCTTTTTCTCCAATCTTTTTGCTCTCATGGACTGTTTGCTAGCCAAATTTTATGATCTTTTGATTTTCCAAAGGAATTTGTATGTCTATGCTTGCCGACTCTGTAGATAACCAGCGCTTTGAATATCGTGTTCAGGTGCCCCGAGGTGCTCCTGCATCTGACTGCTTCAAAGCAGGTCTTTCTCATATCGAGCAAAACCAGCTTACGGACGCTATGTCGTGTTTCAACGAGGCCTTTCTGGCATTGGCAAAAGACCAATCGCTCAATATTGATGTCAAACCACAAGCGAAAATTTGTGCACAATATAAAATTGCTGTTCTTCTTCTTCAGGTACTTCATTCTCACCTCATTCTGCGTTGCTTGGTCTCCGAAACTAGATTCAGGATTTATTTTTCACAATGAGAGCTGACGATATCGTGGGCTTGCAGGAAATTGCACGTTTGCAAAGAGTTGAAGGTCAAGGTGCTGTGGGTGCCAAGGAAGAAATGGCCCGATTATCTCGACATCTGAGTACATTGCCTTTGCAACCAAAACATCGAATTAGCTGTATCCGCACTGCAATCAAAAGGAATATGGATGTACAGAACTACATTTTTTCCAAAAAAATGTTGGATCTTCTGATCTCCAAAGCTCCACCCAATAAGCAGGAGGAACTTAAAGGTTTGGTCGCCGTATGTGTGCAAAGAGGGCTGACAGATCGGACGATTGATGGAGAAGAAGATGCATCACAGTTTTGTGCTGCTACTATGGGGCGGTTATCAACCATCGGACACGATATGTGTGATACTTGCAGCGCCAGATTCTCTGCCTTAACATCACCTGGCTGTACTGTGTGCGGGATGGGCACTGTGGTCAGATCTGATGCCGCTACCGGACCTACCTCATCGCCTTTCTCGTAAGGTAGCAACTCCGAAATTTTGAGCCAGCGACGACTTTGAAGAGCTAGTAGCAGCGATAAGACTACAAAGTCAGGAAGATCTTGTTACACCCAGCTGTCTATCGTATCTGGAAGGTTCATATTGATCTCAGGTTTTGAACAGCCTCTCCTCACCTGTACCCGTCATTTGCCGTGAGATTACTACCTGTCCGTCGCCTCCGCTTAATTTCGATGTCTGAACTAGAACGCTGTGCGCTGAACGGCTGCTAGCAGTACCATTACATGTGAGAAACGTATAGTTAGCTTTACAGCCATTTCAATGTAGAGTGAGTTGATGGCTGAAAGAGTTGTTGGGAATCTTTGCTGTTTTTCAAGCACCGGGATCACACGATTGATGCTAGTTGCAATTGTGTTATGCCCAAGCGTTGTCAGGACCTAGTTCACCTAAATTGGTATCACAACTTTTTGCTTTCTACCATCTTGTACCTTCCGCAAAGCCAAACATTTAAGATCCTAAGCCAACAGGTTGGATGCTCGGGGTTATCTCCGGTTTTTGCTCAAGGTGGATTGCTTCAGTACACCGATGGATCGAGGTCTTTTCGTAGATCACCCTTCGGAAGAAATTCATCGTCATTCTTTTGCCCCATTATCTCCTTAGATGTAAAGTAGTGGCCTACTGTTTTTTTTAGATAGAGGGTCTTGTAAGCATATAAAAGGGGCCAGGTGATGTTTTTCACCTTATACATTTTCCGATTCCAAAAATTTGTATGACTACATGTGTATAGCCTGTAGTGCACTTTACTGCTTGACGTGTCATCAGAGATCATCTGTTATGCTGGGCACCAATGTTTGTGAAATTTTTCTTCACCCATTTCACATTTATGTCGAGGAACAGAGAGATTGTTATATCTCTCTGTTCCTCGACATCTCTCTATATAACAATCTCTCTGTTTCTAATGCATGCTTAGAAGGTCTAGCGGTTTATTCTTCCTCGACATCTCTCACTTGGGTACAAAGCTTATTATGCGCATGTTCAGATTAACGTGATTCAAAGTGTTTACTTAACCTGCAGGCGTGTTCTCAAGATGATAACGCAAGGCTTTTCACAGAAATAGAAAATCTTTGCCAATAGAGAGATGACATAGGGAATTATGACCTCCATGGCCAAGAAAACGAGGTCCTTACCTCTTAGATGGATTTTCCTCGAGTAAATTTGTTTACGTTCGTGTAGGCACCCCAATTCCTTTACGTTTACATCTAGAATTCGTATTTGTCTTTGTTTATCTTATACATTGTGGCCTAGAGTTGTCATTCGCCGCTGTTACCTTCTGGCCTTTTGTTCGCTTTATTATTAATCGTCATTTGTTTTGTCATTCGTAATTTTTGTTCCGCAGTCGGTTGTTGCATTGGAAAGATGCCAGGTAAACTGTTGTCATCACATATTTTCTGACCGTGAGAATGACAAATGATCCATGTAGTCTCGAAAAAGCTCACCGGGAGGGTTCGGCACTTGCGACGTACTAGGATCCGTGGAAGTCGAGGTTTAAATCTTTCCCTGGGTTGTTTTTGCTGCAGTTGTTGACCATTGAACTGCATTTAATGCTTTGAATGACGTAGAATCGCAGTAGTCTAGTGCAGAAGTTTGTGTATTGTTGACTAATGAGCCTCACAGAATGCTTTTCATGAATAGCATTTTACGGAGTCCCTCATGCAATGCCAATATCATTAGCATTTTTAGCTCATGAAAATGGCCATTTTGCAGTACCATTGGTGGAAAATATAGTCCTCGTCTCAATTAAGTTCAAGTTGCACAGAAAATAATCCTGATTCATCAATTACCGCTAAGTATGACGTACATAAGCAACTGGAGTGCTAATTACATGTTAATTCGTTACATTCGTTTGAAGCTTTAGTTGTTTTATAATGTCAACTAAGTGTGTTATGGATTATATTTAACTCCATAAAAAGGCCAAACTATCTGCATGGGTACTGGGCCTTTGTGACTATCAGGCAGATAGATCAATCTAGAGATTTACAACCTCAATTAGATGTTGAACCAAAATAATCACTAAAAGCACAAATGTGTCATGTTTGCATATGGTTGGTCATCATTGCGAATTAAAGAAATCTGCAAATTCATAAGTGCACCAATAAATATTTTTATTTTATATTGAATAGTTTTTTGAATTTGTGATCTTTAAAATATCACAAAATCAAACATAACTTGATGTCAATTTCTTTTTTACATGAAAAGGTATTTTTCACAGATGATATTAATCATCACCACGTCACAAGCATAAAAGATAGAGAATTCTCTTGATGTTTTGAAATGTGAAGAGTTAATTCAGTTCTTGATGAACTCTAGACGGTTTTACTATAGTTGATCCAATTGTGACAATTGTTGCTATATCTTTAAAAGTAAATTTTCTGATTTGGATAATACAGCTGTGGAACTAAAACATGAAGATTGAACTTCTACATGCCAGCTTCCGGAACTTTGGCAGGCTTGATTGGCTGAATGAATCAGATTTGGAGATTCAAAGCATCATAGTTGGCATTGATTCTTGCTTTGCAGCTTCACAGTAAGCAGAAGCCAAAAGTTCTCATTTCAACAAATCATACTTGAAATAAAATGAGACATAAATATTCAAATTGGATTGATTTGTGTCTTTGAGAAATCTTCTTGAATTATAGGGAGATGCAAAGCATTGGCTACTTCTCGCAATCAACAAGCTTTAAAGAGTATGCATTCTTTGAGAGAGATTTGCTTGATGGGACCCCTGCGGAAAGGAATTGGCTTGATGAGACCCGATGGGACATAGTTTTTGTAACTACAATTATTACTAGTTACAATGCGGGAATTATAATAAAAGATCAATCCATGATTATAATTTCTGGTGGATTATCACGGGGACAAAGATCGATTTTGCTCGAAGTGCAATTTGTTGTGCTTCAATTCTTCCAATCGCAAAGATTCGCGGATTTCTCTGTTGCCTCCCACCTGCACTCTCCTTCCGTAACCCTGCGTGGTCCGAGCTCAAGTCTCGCGATCATCCATTTGTGGCGAACAAATAAACTCTGGATGAACATTTCTTTGTTCGTCTCCTTGATAGCGGCCGGATACAGAATGACAACATAAAAACAAGTGAGTGTGATGGAGTGCGAAGTCCACTCTGTCTGCGGATGCGGAGTACTCGTTGCACTGTCTAGTTGTTATTAGAACATGAGTGACGGTGCATCGTTCATGGGGTCCCATCGGATAAAATGAAATCTGAAGAGTCCCATCAAGCAAATTACTTTCCGCATGGGTCCCATCAAACAAATCTATCCATTATTTGACTACTCTTTCAAGAATGATTCGAAAGTCACAATTGAGTCAAAATCTAAAAGTAATATTTCATGAAAGTACAAAGGTTAAATTGCAAAATCATAGTATTAAAAAAAAAATCAAACCAAGAGAAGCAATCAATTGAAACAAGAATTGATGATGTACTTGCTGATGGCTATTGTGAAATTGTATTCAAAATGGAATGAATTTTCCCCAGATTCCACGCTCTGAATGTACTCGCCAGTCTGTTCTTATCTGGAAGTGATTGTCAGGAAGCTACAAGCAAGCCGCCCAATGTCCAGCCAGATTTGTATCAATTTGAGTGGTATCAGTCAGAAATATTTTTGTGTCTCAGACTCTGACACTTGAGCAAGGATGTGACTCTCATATTGCAGTTGCCTGTTCCAATTACTTTCGTCATGGAACGCCGCTATCATCCTTGTACTGACCTGACCGTTCCTGAAAAATGCGAACTCCTGAGTAGTACCCCTGAAATTAATATATTGACCGCTTTTCTTAAAGTGGTTGTTCTGAGAGAAGGATAAAATTGTTTGATTATTATCATCACGGCACAATCAACTCTATAAATAGTTCACTTTATCATCTCCAAGTATTTTATCCATGGGAATATAACATAGGGCTGTTGGTCACTTCGATTTACAACTCCAGTTCAGATTGCAAACAATTGGGCATCGTCAACTGCATTCCTATAACCTACTATTGAACATGCACGGTGTTCTTGGTCACCTGTGCATCATCTGAAACAATGATGTCGACCTTATGCGTACCTGCAGCTTGCAAGCTGTATTGGAAAAGCTCTCCCGGGATTTAGACTTGTCTTGCTGCCAGAGTACAAAGACATAGATGAAAACTAGCCCGCAGTACGAGAAGTGCCAAGCAATATATTTTGAAGCTGGTTCGCCTGAAGTTTTAGCATTATCCCACTAACGTGACCAATATAACACTGCACAACGCTTGTTCTTCCGTAGGCTACTTCAAGTCATTCTTGGTAATATGGTTCGAAGAACGATTAGAAGAAGCCTGCGGTAAGAGAAGTGTCGTGCAATGCTTACAAGTTGGATTTATTGTTGTTAATAGTCATGTATGTGAGAAAAAGTAAAAAAACAGTAAGTTGTCGCATGCAGTAGCTTTAGAAATAGAAATATTCTATTTTAACATCATCTAACAACACATGATAATGGTGGATGGACTTGGGGGATTTCAACAATACTACTTTGTTAGTTGAGGGTGAGATAGATGTATTATATACTTTTCTCTTACTTAGTCAAATTCTAACATCTAAAATTTTGTGACTTTTTGAACTTACTCTTCAAGTGTTGCCTCTATTAACTCTGTGAGAGGCTTGGATAGTATCACATATCTTATGAGTCAAGAAGTTGGAGACCGTTTTTTAGACATGCCATTTTTTACCTGTGTGATATTAAATAAAAATTTAAATTCTATTATTGGAATTGTATCAACTCTTGATTTGGCTTCAATCAACAAGGACTGAAGGCCGTGAAATTGGATCTAGGCTTAGACATTTGCTTAAGAAATTAGTATTAAATCATTAGAGGTTGAATCAAGGGGTTGTTTGGCAAGGAGTAGCATTTGAATGTCAATTAGTGAGGTTGGATGGTTATTGGATTGACAAAGAAGAGGTGGTAGATTGAGTGGAAGATTAGGTAAGTATGGGCTAATTGTGTATTGTGCACTTGATCAGGATTAGTAATATCACTGAATGGATATGAGTTGTGTGTGTGGAATGAACACAAGGCGTGGAATATTCGTAAATATTAACTGTTCAGTGTCCACAAATAAAAAGCAGAGTTCTTGATGAACCAAGTAGTAGGGATTAAGGAGTCCTCAACATTGTAGGAACAAGAAGAGTACTTGTGAGTAGGGTTGGAGTCACAACAATTTTTTTTGAGGCATGTCCATGTTCCCTTTTAAGGTCAAAAGGCATGTCCGAATTACAATACCTGTATTTGATATATTAAAATATATATTTCTATGAAAGTAAAGCACTCAACAAGCCAAAGTACATGTCTATATTTCACGTATCGACACAAAAACAACATTGCATATACTTGGCAACTCTTTCAATTCCAAGATCAATTTTAGTACCATGCAGCTCCAACAAAAAGCGCAATTTTCCATTTATTTGTTGACTTATGCCACCGTCTATAACTATACATAGACATTTTTTTGTACATACGACATGCTTGTGATGACGTAGTTTTTAATTTTTTTTCAAAAAGATGAAGTTTGAGGAATAGAGGGATAGAAATTTACACTTTTAGTATGAGAATAATTAGAAGTAGATTAAATAAGTGATTATGTGGCAGATGATTAGTTACGAATAGTTGGAATACACGTTAGATATCCCGCTGCTAGAGTTAGTGTTTTTACTTGCAGTCAATAAAGTTAAATTAGATGGGTTATGATATGCTAGGATGGATACCTCACAACTTTGTCAGTTAGTGGCAACTTGACCTAGGAGAAATTTTGA